TTTCTCTACCAACCAGGCTAATAGACACAGAAAAGCATACATGTATTTACAATTATCAAAACTATTCAAAGCCCTATCATCTTTAACCCCATTAGCACTTAGACCGCCCTAATAAGGGCTCCATAGACTGCCCTGTCACATGCACAACTGTGGCAACTCCCAAGAATTAGGAAATGGTCCTATAATACAGAAACCTATTCACATATCTCGGGATGTTTGAGGCGGTCTAATGAACAGCAGTTTCTGACTAGTTTCTGTCTCTCCAGAGCTACCCGTATTAATATACAATTTTTCTCTAATTTTCTTCAGGGAACTGGGGTAGTCAATGTTTACAAATGTACCAAGACTACCAGGAGCTAAAAGGTTAAAATCCAATTGCCATTGTCAACATTTTGTGTTATGAATGAAAAGGATTGACCTGATAAAGCAAACTTTGACAGCCAAACTTTTTAAGGATAAAAATGATCCGATTGAAATGAAATTCTGCACCGACTGGGCTAATGAAGACCGGCATATGCCATACAGTGTGCTATGAGGGAATTTTTTGTGAACAGCGGCACTTCAGACTACTCTTACATGTATATCGAATTCCAACTGTCAAGGGTTCTTTTAAGTGCACACTAATGTGTACATATGGGACCTCGGTTTTCCATCTCATTCGAATGACTATATGTTGACCTTTACCAGGCCCTTCATCTTGACAAGGGGGAACCACGGTGGGGAATCCTGATGAACTTTCTCAGCCAACATCAGGATCAAACAAGAGGACCCCAGGGTTAGCAAGTCAATGTCTTACTCAACGAACAACCCCGGCTCCCTAAAGAGGGGCTTACGTAGACTTTGCAACCCAAAGCAACTAGTTGCAGTCAGTTGCAATAGTGCTTATATCGATGATATCAGCAATTGAGGACAACTGGGAGCAACTGAATTTGGAGCGCTTATGTCGACTCGGAACTGATAGTGATCACACTGAACATGTGACTGTTAATTTATTCATCATGTGATCAGCAAAATGGCGAATCACTTAGAAGAAGTAACCCAAAGGCATGGTCGTTCTTGCTACAATTCTATTAGTATATTATTGTCGACATCATCAAAACTTGAAAAGTGGGTGTCTTCGTTCGCTTCCATTTGCTTATTTATAAATTCACATGATACATGTCTCTTATCACGTGATGTTATTTCTATGGAAACGAGTTGACTCCAGTTGCAAGAACGCTCATGTCGACTGCAACTAGTTGCCGCTAGTTACAGCCAGTTGCAGAAAGTTGAACATGTGCAACTGACTGCAACTAGTTGCTTTGAGTTGAAAGAGGCGCTCAGGTTGACTTTTTTCAGTTGCTTCCAGTTGCCGAAATGTCAGTTGCTTTCAGTTGCAAGGTCGACATAAGCCCCCCTTTAAGAGGGAGGAAAATTTGAGTTAAGGTATAAAGATACATTAATAAAAGGATGTACCTGAGGCATGTCCACTTATGCTAAATCTATTAGGTTATAATATGATATAAGTTTCATTTATTAATTAGTATAGGTAGGTCTAATGTTGATTAATTCCGATTAGTTGCTAAATTGATAGTTTATTAACCTTTTAACTGGATTATCACCCTCTTTATTGTGGTGTTTTGTCACCGTCTAAATTTTGAGGCCATTGGCAACCTACCGCCTTTTTTACATCATGTCATTCAGTCAGCAGGCAGCTGTCTTTCAAGACGGTCTACATTTTCTCATTTGATTCTTTGTATTCAGTATCGTTTGTTTTTTGCTCTGTTTTTGTGATGAGTGGAACATGTGCCCTAACTGTATTCAATATGCCTCGATTCTATTGAATACTAAAACGTTTCTTAATTTGACTTAGAGCATTTAGTTTTTAAGACTACTTGTTTTTTTATACATTTCACTGATGTGGTTACTTGCATAGTTAAATTTTACTTCAATATGCTTACATTCATATTTCTTTTAACATATAGCAAATCATGACCCATGCTGGCATTACACAATGGTTTCTCTGGGTTATATTCCTGATTGTTTTCAAATATGAGTGAAATCTGTGTCACTACAGACCCGGGACTGTACAACGCAGTGGACGCTTACGGCTAGCCCACAGATCCCTTCACTTTATTTGAATTCTTTGTTTGTTTGTGATTTTCTGTGTATTGTCTCCATATATTTGTTTTTGTGTAAACTATGTGTGGTGTAGTCCCCCTGCACTTACTATTAGTGATAAATCATATGAATAAAGTATATTTCTTGAAGGAGTAACAAAGCTATCTATGTACCTTGAAAATGGTATCTGCATTGTTTGTATAGAATAAAGAATGAACAATAACAAAGCTACATTTGTTCAAATGAAATGTACAATTTTAATGTTGTTTCGTTTTCCTGATTTTTTACACTACATTGTGATCTGACTAACTTTTCATCAAACAAATGGCGTTTAACGTCCTATTTCTCTGCTGCATCTGTGCTAATAAAGACGGGCATATGATGTGCAGTATGGAAATTTGGCCCAGACAGTGGTGCTACAGCCTACTTTTATTTAGAATTCCAACTGTCAAAGCATGCCAAAGTGTACACAGGACCTTGGTTTTTAATCACATCTGAACAACTAGACACTGTTCCTTGCCAGGCTCTATCCTGCACCACTGACAAGGGGAAATCTCGCCGGAATATCCCAAGGAACTTTCTTGACAAAGACCGAGATCTGACCTCTTGCAGGTTAGTCAGCCACCACCTTACTCATTGAACCAACAGAGTTTTGCCCCATAGCTCCCCCCATACGGTAACTGGAAAATCCTGGGGAACTTTCTCAGCTAATACCGGGATTGAACCCTAGATTTTCTATTTAGTGAGACTGAGTTGATGCCTTTATCAAAACTGTGTATATCGACAGACTTACTAAAACCAATCGGGGTCACGCGTGTTAGTGTGTTTTAAAATTTCCACAATTTACCACAAAAAAAGAAGACCAATATAGATAATTTTATTAGTCCACAAGATCACATGATCTGAACACTGTTTACAAGAAAATATTTTAGGTGTCAATGCAGTACAAATGAAATTCAATTTTTACCATTTTGTTTCGTTGTTATATGTATTTTTTCACAAAAATTCTGTTGTCAGTATGATAAATGTCCTACTGCCTGTCAATCAAAGTAATAAATAGCTAGGTTTAGAACTTTTCAGAACTCAGATTTGCTGTTTTGCATGAACAGTGTAGATTCAGGTTATGTACATGTACTGTAGTGCTAGAAAACTTGGTGGTCTGCGATTGCTCTGCATAACTAAAATTTAAAATATCATTTGATATTGCCCCACTTCTTTTGAATACTGAGGTAATGATAAGTCCTATAATCTTAATGAAACAAAATGTACAATATGCATTTTAATAGTTTATCTATTTTGAATACTGCAGTATATTACATGTATATATTTCCCACTAACTGTCTATTAAAACAAGATCTGCATTATACATGTAGATCATATATTCCCCCCACCTTTTTGTTCATTATCAACTTAACCATTAACAATGATAAATTGTATTAATAACGTGTCACAGATTTAATATTACTATGCAATACTTCAGTATACATGTATATAAATATGGTGTACTGTTATTATAAAATGAAATGTGTAATTTTATGTTATCTTTAAAAACTTGTACTGTATTTGGCATCCCAGTAATAAAAATTGTTCAGACAAGAGTAAACCTATAAAGTCAGAATCAAAAAGAAATTTGAAATACCTTCTACATGTATGGTCTGTCAGACTGTCATATAAGGAAGTTAGATCAGCAAATGTTCTTGAAGGTGCATTATATAATTTGAGGCTGCATGGGAGAGGGATCTTACATGTATTTCAGTTTCAGGAAAAAAACAGCCGGTCGAATATGGTAATACATTATAAAATGCACAATATAATAAAGCACTATCATGTTGGTGGTCATATTTTTTATTCACTAATAAACAATGCCAGATACTGTAACTACTGTGACAACTGAACAAGAACACAGACTTAGAGAACAGTTGGACACAGGTTTTCAGAGACAACATAAAGTGAAACTGAAAACACAATATCGACTTGATATTAAAAGCAACTAAATACTTGAGTGTATTACTAACTTTTAAAGAAATACAAAGTATTTCCCAGCTATTTCACAATGTTAACAATTACTTTTGTACAAATACTGACAATTATATGTAGAGAAAATATAAACACAAAAACAACCTCATGCATCCATTTTAATAACCACTATCACTATAAATTCTGCAAGGTATAGGTTAAAGACAAATCATGCTGATGAAAAATATAACATTTAACTGGATTAAATTATCCTGCTTTTTTACCAAACAGTTGGAACAATTCCAATTCAATAGGAAATATACCGTTTTTGCAAAACTTAATACAATCATAATATCAACACAAAAATTATTGACCGCAATTTCAAATACAAATTTACGAAGTGTAACGCTACCGATTATAAATTTAGAAATCAAAATACCAAACAATTATTTAATCGGTCTGATTTGTGGAATATCGACAAATGATTTTGAGGCTTGCTCATTCGAAAATATAATTTGGTAAATCAGTACTTTATGCTTTTATATAAGTAGATAAATTTTTATAAACATGCGTGCGCGCGAGCTCTCGTTCTCAAAGCTCTACCTATTAATGACCTTGCGTTTGCTTGTCTCTCAAGGCCGTTCATAAGTCGCTTTTACCACCATAAGGTATAAATATATAAGGTCCATTCGCAATTATCTACAAATTCGGCCGACATTAGCCGAAAAAATGAACAAACCCATAAATTTACAAACATACCAAAGGGAAACTCCAACTAACAGCTTCAAAAATGACGTAGATGTCACAATATTAAAATTGATATCGGCCACATTTGAAAAGAATAAATTATCGAAAGCCGAACGAGAGCGCGTGAAAAAAAAGGAAAAGGGAGATAGGATACAGCACGCGCAAATAACACAGTGCAGAATAGAATGTTTATTTACCTTCGCATACATATCCTTGTCCAATTAAACCCCATAACATATCCGTGCAGTGGTGACAGTACGTTGGTTTATGAACGGTTTTCTTCACGAAAAAATGCCCATGACCCCGCTGTATGTCGGAGCCCGACTCGTCGCCTGGTGATTCCGAGCGAACATTTTCGTCCGCCATACTGGTCCCCAAACGTCAAATAAAGCGAGATCCGACAGTCCTAGTATTCACCACGGCTTCTATCCTTGAAAACACATCCTTATAACCCACGTAAATGCGCCCAAAGTGCTTCTTTTGGTCATTTTAGCAGAAAGCTACGGACGGCCATATTCAGAATAGCATCTTCAATTTATGGCGATTAGGTTCTTTACGGAAATGAGGAAAACTAAGCCACACCGAGGCTTCATTTTCGCTCCGCGAAGCAGGCACGCGAACCAGGAAACATTATCAAGCCTTTATCACGTATGTATTTTAAAGGCAATTAAGAGACTCAATGATCGAGATGCCATTTAACGGCCCTGATCGCTTCCACTTTCGATTTTTTGGCAGTTGTCATTTTGATCCCATTATAGGGATCAGGTATCGGCTCTAATCGATTAGGCGAGCCTAATTTAATCAATGAAGGTTAAACAATGGCACCGATTTTCAAATTTGATGGAAGACTCGCCTATCTGCTGAGAAATTAGCAAGTTTTTGTTTAATTGTCAACCTGTCAATTTTAATGCTGTGCTACTTTCGCTTTCAGCTGGTGATGAAATTTGACAGCCAGTAAATGTATGTAGACATGCTCCATACTCTTTGATACTTTTTTTCTTTCTTAAATACAGTTTATTTCTGACTAGTTTTAGAAGAACAAAAGAAATATTTAAACATTTTCAAATTATCGACGACACCTTCTTTAAATTTTTACAATAGTAAACTCGGTCGTGGAAAAGTGTGTCACATGTACATTTGCGTGGGATATCGTAAAACACCCGACCCCAAACGTGCACGATTTTTGCGAAGCCGGGATTACAGAACATAACATCGCATCGAACAGCACATAAAACACGTGCAACTAACGCCAGTTGGGATTTGTATTACATGCGTTCTCACAAAACTGATACTCAATAATCTGGCCCGATGGATAGTGCACATACAATTTTAACACTGACTGTGGGTATGGTCAATTTGACAGTAAGACTATATATATAATTGTTAATCTGTTGGGGTTGTTGTTTTTCTTCGCGGGGTGGGGGTTGGGCTGTGGGATTTTTGTCGGATATTACCCTGATTGACGAGAAGAGAATCGTATTTACATGCGTCATGCCAGGTTCTACGGACATAAATTGCAGTCGAACAGGTTTTTTGGGGGTTTTTTTAAACAAGGTGAGATAAAGAATTCCGTTACAGTTTCTGTTGGACCGTCGGAAATTTGAGCGTCAGCCTTTCTAGTGGGCGAACCAGGATGTGAGGGAGAGAGGAATGGGGTTTAAAGTCAACTCGACACAAACTAGGTCATCTCGGGACTAAGATACTCAATTTTATTTCAATAATTCGCTTGCGCCTATAGGGGGTCTTTAGCAGTAGGAGGAAACCGAAGGACACGGAAAACCCCAACGAGGTTGGACAGGCGACCCTACTCCTTGTCACGTACAGACAGGGAATCGAAAGTACGCCACTTGACTCAATGACAGACCTTGTGATTTCTCGCGCACGCGTTAAACCACTAGAGCCAAGATACCCCTCAAGCCAAGATACCCAGCAGTGTTTCAGGAAGGAGTTCCTGCAAGGAACCGTCTCTAGTCGTTCAGATGGTGCAAAAAACGGAGGTCCTACGTATACATTACAGTGCACGTAAAAGACACATTGCCATTTGGAATTCGAAATAATAGTGGACCGAAGCGCCATTGTCCGGGCAAGATTTCCATCGCAGCACTTTGTATGGCATAAATATGCCCCCCATTAGCCCAGTCGGTACTTGAAAGACATTAAAGACATTCAACCCCATTTCATTTCATTTCGTATAGGTGGTGTGAGTGCAGACCTAAAGATTTTCTTTTAGTGCACGATCGGCCCGATGTATTGGTTGTTTAAAATGTGATAAAAAATGAAATATATACAAGAAATTTATTTCGTCCCGCTGACCATGGCGCAATGATAAAACAAATTCGAAAAATATTACTTCACTCAACATAACATTTACTTTCTATACTATAAGGATACAGAATAACATGAAAAGGACTCATTGTTAGGCCTCGCCGCGCTTGACTATATCTCTTATCTCTTCAAACGGTTTTGTCTAAAAAATTTAGGTTCTTCATCGCCCTATCCAAAAACTAGTTTACACCACTGTCTAGACATGTGTGACGTTCGGAAATCAATAGAAACTATAAATGTAAATTTTAATTGGCCGTAACTTAAAACTAGTAGACCTTTAATTAATTTATTTTTTGGGGATGACAATGTGCCTTCCCTGAACAATAATTTCGTCTATAGACAAAGCCAGTGTTAAAATACAACTGATTTTGGGTTCCACACAGTCGACAAATTCAGTGGAGTGGTGGTCGGTATTTGGCGGGGTAGGGGCTATGAAGCAAAATTATGTTGGGTCAATGAATAAGGAGCTGGCTAACCAGCAAGGTTCGATCTCGGTCTTGGTCGAGAAAGTTCCTCGGGATATTCCGGCGAGATTTCTCATTGTCATTAGTGCAAGACAGAGGGCCTGGTGAGGAACGGCGTCTAGTTGTTCGGGTGGGACGAAAAACCGCGGTCGTATGTACACGTTTCAAGGGCGTACACGTAAAAGGACCCCAACAAGGCAGTCCGATTTCAATGAATAGTTTGTGGAAACGCCGTTATGTGGGAAAAATTTCTCTCACAGCACAATGCACGGCAAATGGCCGTCTTAATTAAAGTCCGGTTGGTGTAGAAAAGTAGGGTGTTAAATTCCGCTTCTACCATTAAATAAGGAATGAAATGTGAACAGTTTTAACAGCAAAACAGGTTCAAAATCTAAAAAAAAATCGGGGGTAACAAAACTCCTCAGATCCGCAGCTTGTTTATTCTCGTCCTTCCGACCGTTTGGTTGGTATATTTCCAACAGGGCACCGTTATAAAATCGTACCACTATACGACATCGGACACAGTAACTCAAAAAATGAAACTCAAGATTAGTAAACAACAGATTTTTCGATACAAAAAGTGTAATGGTATAGAAATGAAATGAAATGAAATGGGGTTTAGCATCCAACTGTGTAATGGTATAGAGCTGACCCCATCAATAATAGGCAAGACACATCAGATCACCCAAATTCAATACTTTATTTTAGGAGTCACATGTGCTCAGTGATGAAGGCACTGACTCACTGACCAGATCCTGATGTTGGATGAGAAATTTCCTGGAGGACTTTCTAGCGTTGTTTCCTTTTGTCAGTGGTGCTGGACGGAGGGCCTATCAAGGAGCAGTGTCTAGTCGATCGGATGGTATCGAACACCCGAGGTCGATGAAGATGTAAACGCCGCTACCCGGGACATATTTGATATTTCACCCTCAATTTGTACACGGGTTCACGACTTTTGCCTCCATCCGACAGTCAGTGACGCTGTGGCCGGGAGGAGAATGGTGGAAGCCTTTGGGCAAATTCAAGAGAAGACAACTCTGTTTGGGAGATTTTCACCAACACACTAACCAGGGGGTTCGGGGGTCGATCTGGGTATTCACTGTGCGGAGAAAGTGCCTCGGTTTTTTTTCTGGCCTAGTTACCGTCATTGGTGCAGGACAGACGGCTTGGCGAGGAACAGTGTTTAGTCGTTCAGATGAACGTAATAAAAAAACTTAAACAGTTTAAATTCGAAATAAGATTAGGTTGTAGCGCCACTGCCCGAGCTAAATTTCCTTTATGTCGTATACCAGTCTTCATTAGCCCGATTGGTGCACACAGGCGCCACTCCCGACAAGTGGGAACCGGGTTTTAAAACTCCCTAAAATTTGTGAAGTTCACCTGATTGAAAGCGCTGTTATTTTTATACGTCCACATTCATTTGACTACCAAAAAAATTATGATTTGATTAAACCCAACTGCTTTGCGAAATTCTGTTCATTTTAAATGGCCGCCGAACCAGAATCACGTGGTGAAAATACAGAAAACCTATTCGGTAAGATAAGATTATGGTTTCAGTGTTCCACTCTTCACTTTTTGTAAAATAATTACTTGTTTCTGTGCAAACTGTGATGAACTTTGTTGAAAATCTTGCAGTTGAACCTAATTTTACATGCTCAAAGCCTCGAATGTGTATCAATTGTAGCCGTAGATAAGAATTATCACGGCTACAAATTGCAGCTAGTATGTATGGGTGTGTGTGCCTGCGTGTCGCCGACGGGCTGCAATTCTTAACTGATCCCTATTGTTTTTGGTGCATGCCCGACACCCCCTGGACAGATCCAAGCCCATTTCTTGTATTTGTTTGTTTGTCGTCTACGGGTCGCATTTCTTAACGTATCATCTTGAAATTTTGCATCTTATACCCAAAGGAACATCCCTATTGTCTGTGGTGCATACCCAACCCCCAGGGGAAGAGCCACGCCTATTTTGTCCGTGTGTCGCCTATACAGGCCGCAATTCTTAATCGATTATCTTGAAAACTTGTACGTGTGTCGCCTACAGGCCGCAATTCTTAATCGATTATCTTCAAAACTTGTCATACTTATTCCTTATGCCCTAAGGATGACCTCTTATTATTTTTGGTGCATGCCCGACCCCCTGGAACAGAGCCACGCCCAATTTGTGTGTGTGTCTTAACAGATCCTGTTGAAACTGTGCATACCTTTTCCTTATACCCCAAGGACGACCCCTATTGTTTTTTGGTGAATGCCCGACCCCCAGGGACAGAGCCATTCCCATTTTTCTTTGTGTGTCTGTTAGTTGCCTACAGGTCACAATTCTTAATGGATCGTCTTGAAACTTGGCATATATATTCCTTATAGTCTATGGACGTCAACTGTTGATTTTCGTGCATGTCCTGATCCCCAGGGTCAGAGTCACTCCCATTTTTTGTGTTTATCGTATAGAGGCCGCACAATTCTGAATGGATCAGCTTGGAACTTGGCATGTATTCCTTATCGGCGGGACGATTTACCCAATGCTACCCAATACCACTCCAATATCACCACATACTACCCAATACTATAACATAATTGTGCCAAATGAAAATATTACTTGATTTTGTTAAAAAAAAATAGTGAGATGTATCGTGGGAACTGTACTTCAAATGTGATTACTGATGTCTGGCTGTTACATTTGCCTCCCTATATCACCCAAATCAAGCAAATAATAACCCAATTATACTACCAAATACTTATCAAATACTACCCAATATTATAAAATACAAACCTAATATCGTCAATTAGCAGCACATCAGTATAATAATTGCAACGAATATTCGATAATTTACAGAAAATTGAAATATTTACGCAGTTATCCCCCTTTACATTTGACAAATAGATTTTAGATTGCTACTCAGATTAATCATCTTGTTGGGCTTTGCAGTTTGTTTCCAAGACGACGAAGTTAAAATAAGGAAAACAGGTTATTATAGATGCCTCCGCTATAGTGTATCCATACAATTTTACACGTTAAAAGCATATCAATATAACATAACATAAAATTAAAAGAGTTTTAAAAGAAGTTAACAAAGATTCAAAAATGCATCAAAATAAAATCAGTTTATAAAATGAACAGCCAAACATCCAAATAAAACAGTATTTTAGAGGTTGATTTAAAAATGTTAATTTAACGGTCTCGTGGCCTACTCAAAAGTCTTCTTATACTATAATTATTTCTTCATCCTGGTGATTTTAGTATAACACGCGGTCTACAAGTGCACGCAGTCCTGTAAAAAAATCATTTGGGCATAATATGTCAGGAAAGCACATGAATTTATCTTTATATCTGTCTTTTAATGACTTATTAAGGCGTCTTCTTTGTCATTTACACCAGGCGCCTTTAAAAAAAAACAACCTCTTGTCAAAATTTCACCGATTTTTCGAATATTGTTACTATTGAGCAAATTCTAAGTATTCTCCGGTATATATCCTCAGGTGATGATGTCGCGGCGATGTCATTACCACCTAAATTAATAGACACGGTCACCAGTTTCCTCCCACATATGCATATTTTTTTATATTTTTTTTTCATGTCAACGATTAAGTTATTGCATATATACTTAATGGACGATGTTTTATTTTAAAATTAACGAAATTGCACATGTTTATTACAAAGCACATGTTTATTACAAATGTGTAATGCTCTACTAGTATTTATTTACATTATCAAAGAATTTCAAAGAAACCGACAAACTGATGAACTGAGAAGTGTCGCGTCGAGAATTACACACTGGAAAGAAACATGTGCAATTTCGTTAATTTTAAAATAAAACATCGTGCAGTAAGTTAATCATGTTCCTGAAGCAACAACTGCGAGTTTAACTTTGATAAGATGTACGTATTATATATAGTTAAAGCGAGATCAAGCCTCCTATTGAAGAAGTAAGTAAATACGCAATAACTTAATAGTTGACATGAAAAAAATGAATATAAATATTGTGCAATTGTTTTGTTAAAGTATTAATTTTAAAATAAATACAAACAATGGACACTATCTATAGGTAATTTCGGGACTAACATATAGTTCAATATTATTTCATCAACTCGCTTGCGCGAAGTGGTGTTTAACAGTGAGATGAAACCGGTGGACCCGAGAAAACCCACCTTGTTTGACAGACGACCCTATCAAGTGGTAAGAGACAGATGGGTCATTTTGGGAATAAAATATGGTATATCGGCATACTTGTTTTTCATATTTTAAGTTCGTCGTCTTGGAAACCAACTGCAAAACCAAAAAAGTGGATTAAACCGAGAAGCAATCTAAAATCTAATTACCGGTTGTAAAGGGAGATAGTTGGGTAAACATTTAAATTTTCTGCAAAATATCGAATATTCGTTGCAGTAATTATACTAATGTGCTGTTATTTGACAATATTAGCTTGCTATTTGATCATATTGGGTAGTATTTGATGAGTATTTGGTAGTATTGGGTTATTATTGGCTTGTTTGGGGTGGCATAGGGAGGCAAATGGAACAGCCAGACATTGGTTTCGCATTTGAAGTACATTTCCCGCGATATAACTATATTTTTGAAAAAATCAAATATGTCTATTTTGCATCATTATGTTGTAGAATTGGTTATGTGGTGATATTGAGGTGGTATTGGGTAGTATTGGGTAAATCGTCCCACCCATAAGGGCGGCAACTATTGATTTTGGTCCATCTCCCGACCCCCAGGGACAGAGTCACGTCCCAATTTATGTGTTTAGATCCCGAAGGCCACAATTCTGGATGGATTATCTTGGAACTTGGTATACACTTATTCCTTATATCCTAAGGATGGCAACTATTAATGAATGGATCATCTTGGAACTTGGCATATTTATTCCTGTAAGGATAGCAAGTATTTATTTTGGTACATGTCCTGACCCCCAGGGGTGTGGTACCACACCCACTTTTTTGTTAATTTTTTGTCTGTAAATATTCAACAGGTTGCTATGATTAACAGATTTTGTTAAAGTTCAGCATATCAATCATTTCAATAGCAGGGTCCAAACTATTTAATATATTGTTCCCAATCCAACCCTCAGGGGCAGAGCCCCGCCCATTTTTTGTATTTATCATCTACAGGCTGCAATTCTGAATGGATCATCATAGAACTTTGCATATTTATTCTTTATACCGTAAAGACAGCAACTATTTATTTTGGTGCATGCCCTGAACCCCTGGGGCGGAGTCACACCCACTTTTCTGTTAATATTTAGTCTCTAAATTTGGCAAAACAAACCCGACGCCTAGCATTAGTTGCCTCTTGTCATATTACAGTCATATTGCATCAATTTCATTTTTCATTCTCTTTATTTTAAAAAATACGGTACCATATCATTGAAAGCACGAATGTGGACGTATTTTGCAGCGTTAGCGATGATCTAGTTTGTTTTTTTTTTGGGGGGGGGGTGGCTTTTTATGCACCCATATTTCAGTGTGGGATATCGTCGCCCCTGTCCGTCCGTCAACTATTACTTTGACATGTGACCGTGAAACTGGTATATAAAAAGCATGCAGGTCATGAGGAATGTTATCGATTTTCCGAGTTCTGTGACCTGAAAGTCTCGTGAATGCGATAGAGGCTAATTTTTTTAACGGATTTTTTTCCTCCGATTTAGAACTGAGAGGATGAACCCTATTGTTTTTTAAGCCGGTGGATAAAACCTACGATTGGAAATATAGATCCAGATGCAGATACTGCCATGTAACCGTTCGGTAAGTTCTCGTACATAGCTAATACTAGGACATGCTGGTTGTACAGATGCCGCTTACCCGAATGTGTTCGATGGAAACTGTGGCATGGGCATCACGAATGGAGTAATGCAAACTGCACACAGCGATCCATCTACGTCATACTTTGTGATTATGATCACTGCCCTAGTTGACCTCCATTTAAAACGCTCACGTGATCATTTTGGGGCGGGACTTGTCGACTGGACTACTGCTTTGTGTACACAACAGAGTAAAAATAACCCGATCAATACGTGTTTTATGTTAACACATGTTATTGGCAAAATGTCAACTTCTGCCACTCCGGTAAAAGCGATATATAATATGTGCTTGTGGGTAATATTGCAATACATTCTTTGCCATTGTAAAATGTCTTTAGAGTTTCAATCTGTTTATCTTTCAAAACAAGGTTAGATACTCCTAAATTTGTCTTCGCAAACAAAACCGCCCCTGTGAAATATCTTTCATTGGTGCCGCCATATTGAATAATTAGAGGACTATTTTGTGATTCGGCTTTGATTAGTTTGACATCTTTCATACACACAGCGGCTAAATAAACATATTTAATTTCATTCAATATGACAATAGAAGAGAAATAAATACTTCTAAAAATTACTAAAAGCATACTCAGTGTTTTCTACTAAAATCGTCGATTTAGGAATTAAAATGTTGGTTATTTAGCTTAGGGCCTGTTCTCAGGCGGAGCTAGCTGTAGACAGGCAGCCTAAGTTTGGGATGGGAGTAATGTTGAAAGAGCTGTGGTGCTTACTAAGATACTGTTAGATCACATGGTAACATTTTGATTAGACAAATCTATTTCCGTAAATTTAGACACATATCAACAAACAACAGAATTTTATACTGATTTATCCACAAAAAGGTACATTTGTAACTGGTAGTGGTATTATTTTCATAGTGTCAACCTCGATCAGCATGAATAATTGTTATTTTAAGACATCTACACTTGTAGTGGAACCATGTCTGTACACAGAGGATAGTGAGAGAGAGAGAGAGAAAGAGAGAAATGGGGTTTAACGTCCACCCAACACAAAATAGGTCATTTCGGGACTAATATATGGTTCTATTTTTTTATTTCAATAATTTGCTTGCGCGTAGGGGTCTTTAGCAGTGGGAGGAAAGTGGAGGGCCTGGAGAAAACCCATGAGGTTTGGCAGGCGACTCTACTCTTTGTTATGTACAACCGGGGAGTCGAAACCACGCCAGTAATTGACTCAATGACAGCCCTTTTGATACAGCCTGCATCCAAGGTGAAGGGAGGTAGGTAGGGGGGTGTAGTCCGGTGGCTGAAGGGGGGGAATCGCCACCCGAGCTGTAAATTTATGAGACCAAGTTTTTCTAGACCAGTTTTTTTCGTAGATTCCGAATCTGTGCGGTGATCAATAGGCTTCTTCGTCTCATGGCCTTAAACACTGTGTATAAATTTAAAGTCAATCGAATATTAACTTTAGCCTCTAGAGCGTCCACAAGATTTTTTTAAGTGATCAAGGGCCATAACTCTGGGAGTAATTATCGGAAATCGCTGAAAATCAATAGACTTCTTTGTCTCATGACCTTAAACACTGTATATAAATTTAAAGTCAATCGGATATTAACTTTAGCCTCTAGAGCGTCAACAACCAATTGTGGACGCCGGACGGACGGGGTCGAAGACAATATACAACCACATTTCAATGTTATTTTATGAATTGAAAAATCTCCTGGATTTTCCTGGGGTTTTTTCATTGCTACTAGGTACATTGAACTTGAAGAATAAATGTAAATTATGAGTTAAGAGGACAAGTTAGACTGAGCCAAATTTCTGGTGCATTTATCAAGAGATCAATTTTCAATAAAGTAAATTATATTTTTTTTATTTTCGGCAATTTTTTTCTTCTGTGATGGTAAATTTGCTAAACATTTCAATATAACTAAAAACATAGGAATATGCCTGCCACAGAATAAATAACTAACCACAGATGTTTGTCTAAAATATTTGCTAGAAATGATCTTTTTACTTCTAATAATTCAACTTCAAATAAAAGGTTGGTGTTACCTAAAAAACAAAACAAAGAACAAATTTATTATATATATTCAGAATCAAGAAATTTGTTATTATGTAGTTTCTATAATCCAGCCCTTCCACTCTGCCAGTAAGCTTCAAGAACTCATCATTAAAGCTAAATTTTACTATTTTACTACATTTTTGTTGTTTTCCAGAATATTTTTTTAGGTTATTGTTGCAGTTTATAGGCATAGGTTTAAAAGGTGTTGAAATTTATTGTAGATCACTGTATGGGTCAGTGACCGTCAGTCATTGTGTTATTATGCAGATTAATGTATTTGACTCTGTACATTGGGTTGTCATTATCTATCCATTGTTAGAATTCGGAAATAAGTGAAGAGATAATAAGACATTATGTCCAAAATTAAATTGAACCAATGAAAATAAGTAGTAATTGATATATGCATGGTATAGTAGGTGGCTTGCCTTCAATCCCATAAGCCATTTCAGGAGGAACTTCTAAAGATCTCTTCTCTCTGAAAAATGTCACTAATAAATAAACCAAAATCACATATCTTTTGTGGAAGCCAAATTATCATAACTATGGTAATTAAGTAACGGGTACTGGACAACTTCATTTGAACAAATCTAAATGAGCAACTCCTAAAGGGACAAACAGTACTAGTACATACTAAACTTTTGAAAGTCCCCACCCAATCATAGCTAAAAACGAGCAAATCAGTATATCTCAACATTTTAAGCTATGTTCCCATAGCTCAGGGGTCACCAATCTATGGCCTGTGGCCGGATCCGGTCCTCAATGTCAGTCTGTCAGGCCCACTGTTGCATGCTGAAAAAAAAACATGCTTTAGCTTCTTACACTTCTTACATAACACATATTGTTTTTATTATTTTGTGTATTTCATGTATTGATAAATAAATAGAATAACTATCCTTACTTTATGTGTACATTCTGTATTCAGTATATTGTAATGAACAAAATATTTATCCGACCCGTACTCGGCATTCTTTCAGTTATATCTGGCCCACTATGAAAAAAGTTTGGTGACCCATACCGTAGCTAAATAGATCGTTGACTCGCGAGATGCAGAATTGATTTTTTTTTTGGGGGGGGGGGGGGCAGTAAGTAACCTGTTACTCTTAATTATACACGTTACACGCATTATCCATAGGTACACAAACAATCTTAAATTGTTTTGGTCCTTATTTTGATCCACATCAATATCGTGATATAAAACAGTTATATTTCTTAGACATCGGCAGGATTAAAGATATCAATTATTCATTTATTCTGATGTTTTCTTGGTAAATATTGACCTGGTTATGAATAGCGATATCAATATCGTATCGTAGCACCTGAATCGCAAGAATCATATGGTGAAAAAGTAGCAATACTTAGCACTATTTGTCAGGGAACAAGGTTTGACAAGGGTTTTTAATGGAAGGCACCCTAGTGAAGATATTTGTAGTTTGCTACCTCTCAAAATGACGGGCTAACTTCAGGAGAGCCAAAAGTCCAAGATGGCAGCCAAAAATAGTCTGAAATAGAGTTTGACAAACATTGTTGACAAAATGACCCGGGTAACATGTCATTTTATAGGTTTTGTTCATAGCCAAACTCATTTCCAATTCATCCCACCAACAGTTGATTCAATATGGTGGCCGAAATCAAAAATGGCGACAGCAATTGGCGTAAAAAGTATTCTTTCAATACCAATAACAATAGGCACGTGTGATATTTCGTTTTGGGAGTTATAAGGGAGAAGAAACTTGAATATGCCATTTCCAAGCTGATAGATCTGATTAGAAAGGAGATAGCATCCAAAAATTGCCATTTTCACGATTACATGTAAAAATAACTACAGACATCCATGTATCTTATCCTTCATATATTACAGCTATCATAATATATTATAATGTACTATATAATAATTCAGTCCGCCATATGACTCGGAAATTTCATGGGGAATCCAATCAAAGAGTGGAATCAAAATTTAGGTCATTGAAATTTGAAATTATCGCTGTTACCTTTGTTGTAAAATATTTATTTCATCTGATTTTATATATTTGAAATGTTTCTTTTCTCATATTTCTCAGTAGTGGGCCCTTTACTTGAGTAGTAAGGTTGGCGGTCGGGGCATATATTGGTTCTGGCATCATCAACCCTCTGCATGCCACCGACATGGTCACAGTGAAGGGACATATTTAGAAATTGTGGACCTCTTGATTCTCCTAACACTCAAGATAGATTGCTTACTGCCCCCCCCCCCCCAAAAAAAAATCAATTATGCATCTCGCGAGTCAACGATCTATTTAGCTACGGTATGGGTCACCAAACTTTTTTCATAGTGGGCCAGATATAACTGAAAGAATGCCGAGTACGGGTCGGATAAATATTTTGTTCATTACAATATACTGAATACTGTGCAGGATCAGCTTTTAAGGGAACATTTTGACTTTAAATATTTCAAATAAAAATTCTATTAAAAGCTGCTACTGCATAATTCTGTATCATAAGGTCCATGGTGTATCCAAATGCAACTGTTGAAGGTAGTGTATCATGTAAAATTTGTAGCCAAAAATATGTCTTCCCTCAAGTTAGATAAGAACTATTTGTTGTAAGACTCTGCAATGCATTCATAAGATTTCTTGAGTTTGAATATAAACAGGGACCATCTCTGCAAATAGGGTTGTGATCTGTGGCTTAAAGAAGAAATCCTAAACACTCCTCAGTAAATAAAATTGGTTAATCCATTATGGCAGTCTCTTAGAAACCTTCCATCAGGTCTCAAACCACTATCTGAGTCTCTGAGATACATTTTCAAAGAAATACTAACATACAGTTGTCAGGTGGAGTTAAAGGTGAGCTTCTAGATTATCAATCACCTTGTGTCTAAATAAACTTGTCTATAACTCAAGACACATGCACAGTGCCAAATTACAACTTTGCTAGTACCGTAATAGAATCTTTAAGATATTGTGGCATTTTGCTAACAGCACCAACTTGCCACGTTTATAAAGTCACTCTATCAAAAATTGGAGTTGAGATATTTTAAAATAGTTACATAACCCATGATAAACTGTTTTGGCGATCCTTTTCAAATTGCACAAAATTTTGAACTGAAACTGTCAGACAAGATAAACAGGCTTTTTCTTCATAATTTTGGGTTGGATTGACATATTGAACCAAGTTTTTGAAGAGCCAGTTTAACCTTGGGTCTTATCCTTTCAGACTAAATGAACAATGCCTGCAAATTTTAAAAATAAATCTGTAACTATGACCTATAGGGGGACAGACCAAAAGATAACAGACCAATATACACAAATGACTAGAATATGTCAGCGTATAAAAATTACATGACTTTCTAACTTACCCAACACACATAGAGACGATTCCATCCTCAAGACCTGAAAAATGTTGATTTAAAAAGATCACCCCAAAAATCAAAAAGAATTAGAAAAACAACTAGATCTGCCAGGCAGATATGAAAGCTTTTCATATTTATCGTCACAAGTCAAGGATTTTGTCAAGAATCTTAAAAACAAAAATAATTCTTAAGATTGGCCAAAAATTTGCTGAGTTTCTACGAGAAACATTTCAACCGGGCAAAAGTTTGAAATTTCCAAATGCTAAAAATTAGACACTTATCCAGGCTATCTAGAAATATATTAATGTCGGAAATAGGAGACGTATTTACGAAACGATAGGCTATTGTGTTTATTTTGAAGCTCATTAATGTGGATTTTTCACTTTTTTTCATATTCAATTCAAAATGAAGACCATCAGTTGACTGAAATCAAATTTCTGCTCTGAACGTTTTTTAGACATTCCTTCAAGGATTCTGAAAATGTGACTCCCATGTCTGTAGGTAAAATAATGTAAAAGCCTTTGGGATTTTTCACGTTTCAAGACGATGGTGGTTCAATCGACAAACTTCCTATTTTGTGTACGCATCACTAGTGTCTTAGCTAGTACAGAAACAAATTTCAAGGCAATCTGACTTACTTTTTTTTTGATTTTTAGAAAACTCTGACCTTAATTTCTCCAAGAGGAGATAACTTAAAAAATTTGTAATGACATCATTCAAGAAAAAAGAATAAGTAAAATAGGTAAAAAAAACACAAGTTATGACTATGCATTGTTAATTTTTTCGTTTGTAAAATTCGGTGATTTCGAGGGTAGGTCAAATTTTCAGAAAGATCATATGGTTAGATTCTTAAAAAATTGATTTGCAGGAAACACAAAAAAAAGCTTTCATATGAAATATCACATCCAATAGTAGCACTCTGTCCAACAATTCAACCAGACGAAGAGCGAGTCGTTCATATCAATGTAATGCTTCCCATCAGGTGCTTAATCAGTAAATTGATCACGCAGTGGCGACCCCAAATGACTTAATAATGATGGTAGAAGTGTCAAAATTCTAAATTTGTTCAATGTTCATGTAAAGCTTCAGTGAAAACTTCGAACTCAACAGACATTATGGTGTAAAGGTGATATATTTGAATTAATTTTTAAATCAGATAATAATTGTGACCTCCAGAGAGAGTCACAAGCTAAAAATGTGATTTTTCTTGCAATCAGGGGCCATAATTCAGAAAGTTAAGATCTGATATGTGCAAATATCGAAAGGAACCAAGATCTGTGACTGTGGGTTATAAAGATGCATTTTAAATTTCATCAAAATCTGATGAAAATTGTGACCTCTAGAGGATCCACAAGCTAAAAACGTGATTTTTCGAACAATCAGGGGCCATAATCCATGAAGTTATAGTCAGATACATGCCAATATCGAAAGGAACTGGATAAAAATTGTGACCTGTAGAGTGTCCACAAACAAATTGTGGACGGACGAACAGGGGCGACAGCATAAACATTTCAAAAACAATAACTGACTGCCTTCTACCTTACCTGAAATAACTTCATAATCCCCAATCTTAAATGTTTCAGGTTCATCTGCATAGGTGTTTCCTATAAGTTTTCCATCTCCATCTATCAATCTACACTGATAACAAATGATCACCTGTGGAAACTTTAGTTTTACAATCTTCTGATTCTCTGTAAAATATCAGAAATAAGAATCACATCCTACAACGGTCCTTAGAAAGTGTGTTTTAAGACCTTGTCCATACACTACAACAATCTTTTTGACTTTATAATACAATGATAGTATTTATTTCCTTGGATACATGTGCAAGTGAGGTGGAGAATTTTGCCAGGACTGCAACATTATGTAGTCAAAAATGTGTTACAGAACAGAAATACATGTATATATACTTACCAAAACTTTAATTTTTAATTCACCATTTGCATTACAGAAAACCAAACACATATTTATTAATACCAAAAGCATGCAAATTATCCATCCTGTTGCAGCCATCTTCTATCAATAAAATATCCACTCACACACATTAAAGGAAATGAACAATTAAAATAAATAATTTCTAACTATCTTAAATAGTAAAAGACTTTGTTGTCCAGTGAATTCTGTCATAAAGAAAATATTGACTTTTTTAAAGGCTATACTATTTGGAAGAAACTGAATGCACACACTAGCATTTTATGATATAATAAGCAAGTAAACAGTTCTGTAAATCAGTTTCATAAATGACAGTGAAAGCTATGGGGTTAACCACAGATTGGGTAATTTTGGGATTAGCATGATATTTCACTTATATGCCTGAAAAAACCCACAAGAAACCACTTGAACTGATGATAGAGAGATATGGGGTTTAATGTCTGCTGAACACAACCTAGATCATTTTGGGCATAACACATGATTCAACTTTATTTCAATAATGCACTTGTTCTTAGGGGTCTTTAGCAGTGGGAGGAAACTGGAGAACCGAGAAAACCCATATTTTCGGACAAGCGGGGAATCGAAAACATGCCACTGACTCAATGAGAGACCTTATGATCTAAAATGCATATTTGGACACCCCTAAATAAAGACAGACCTTATGGTCTATAGCATCAGCGTTAGATTACTCGGCCAATAAGCACATAATTTAATTAAACAGGGACAGTAATCAATACATACATTCATATAGAGAGAACTGGTAATGCAGTCATTACAGTAAACTAAGAAGTCAAATGTAATGGAAATTAATACCTTGTCAGTAGAAAATCTATATGATTTTGAGACCAACATATGATTATTTTTTACTTTACTATTGTCACATGTTCAATGCCATAATTGCCTACCAAATCTGGGATAAATATAAACATCTGAATCACAAAAGGTAGTTTTTTTTGTGGTTACATGATTTTCAAGAATTGTTTGGATATGAAGCATGTACAGAAACTACTTTGATAAATAAAGATCATCTTCTTTTTAGTTTCTAGAAAGACAATTTTTGTTATCAATTTGGTGGTGACAGTAAGCACTCAGAAGAGTTGACAGTTCTTAAAAGTTAATTGCAAAATTCAATTGAAACAGTTTCAATTTGCTATTTTCAGACTGACCTAAGAGTTTATTCTACATTAATTTGATCTTTAAGTACTGTTTTCTGCATATATTTCACAGTGAGGCTGACGTCCCCACCCAATCGAATCACCAAATAAATAGGTGACACATATTAAACATACATTATGCAAGTGCTAAATCTGCCTATTGCAAGTCTTTCTTTAGGCCTAAAATGCTTTCTAAATTATTAATTAGACATTAATTAACTTATCCAGGCCATAATCAACTTGATGGCATCATAATTTCTCCGATATTAAATAGATTAGAACAGTTCAGCCATATTTTGATTTACGCTAAAAATGGAGGAGCAAGACTTAACTTCAAACAACCAGTACGGTGGTTGAAATTATTTCACGTCTTGTCAAACCTTCAAAGGCTAATATCTTCGCTCGCAATAGAGTAATTTGAATGAAATTTTCAAATTATTAATTTTACATTATCTATTTTCGAACTATTATAGCAAGAATGGCTAGTTCTTTATCTAAATCTAACATAATGTATCTTTAATTAATTGCACATTAATTTTTATCAAGCATTGAACAATCAACCTGCTTATCTAAACTTACGGCTAAAAAAAGTATTTGTCCAGTTTTCAATTTTTATGTTATACAGTTTAGAAACAACTTCCAGAATTTAGTCCATTTCTTATATTTAATATAACTTCTTTGTTGAGTTACGGCAATAAACATGTCCCAAAAATAGCCATTTTTATGGGTTATGCTGTCTTACTTCAATATATTATATTAATATTTTTTCTGTGACCTTTTTGGAAAGGATATAAACGCATGCTTATAGAACATGTCCTATAATAAATTTTGGTAGTTGAATTATACAAATAGACAGTGTATTAAGGGAGTTATGACTAAATTACAAAAACATGTGTTTCTGTCAGACACATTAAACATGTGTAGTGTACATCTTCAGTAATATTATATTACTTTTCAATTTTAAAATCTAAAATATTTTTTATTCATTTGAATTTGAAGTTGATTTTTTTCACTTTTTAAAGGTTACAGACACTACATTGTAGTGTCCATAACCATAAAGTGACCATACTCTGACCCATACTTAAAAAGCTCCACAAAAGTGTATTTGTAACAGCTGCTGAAGTGAAAAAAGTATAAATTTTAATGACCAAAATATTGAACTATTGTAGGGCAATTTATTTTTTCACCCTGTGTTTCCATACTGTGTTTTAGCTGTTAGCCAGCTAAAAATGCTCACCATCAAACTTAGTCAAGCTACTGATGTAATGAAACTATATACCAAGTTTCACCACACTCACTCCATTAGTCAATGATACCATGCTCTAAGTCAGTGATTTTCGACCAGTGTGCTGCGGTACACAGGTGTGCCAAGAGAACTTCCTAAGTGTGCCGCAAAATTTTGAAAGGCACGCTAAGAAAATGCAAAAAAAAATGTGATCTCAATTGAGTATTCACTGGTGTTTACTAGTAAGTTCATAGCTGTGTTTTTCTTTATTTAGTTTGAGTCATTCTATGTGTCTATGACTATTCTGTGTCTACATTTGTATACCGTCTATGACTTGCCATGATTTTATTTTGCAAAATTCAAATATTTTCATATATATTTAGCAAGGTGTGCCGTTGGCAAAAAAGGTTGAGAAGCACTGCTTTAAGTCTTGGCCAATCAAATTAGTTACTGTGACCCAAAAAGTCTGACAGACGGATGGAGGGTGAGTCAAATGATTCCATTTTAATAGTCCCCTGTGGACAATAACATTTACTGGCAGAACCAATAGTTGATCAAGACAAATGACTAGGTCATCCAGTTTTAGTTGAAAATCCATATATCTGCTTTAAAATAAAGTAAAGAATTTTATAATTGCTTACTGAAATCAATTAAAATCAGTACGGTTCCTCATCTGATGAAAATAAAAGCTGCAATCATGCAGAAATTTCAATTCAATCAGGTACTAACTTTAGCCTCACAAGATTTTTCAAATTGATCAAGGGCCATAACACAGTAATCAATAGGATTCTTTGCCTCGAATAAAAACACTGTGTATAAATTTCAATGGATGATAACTTTATACTCTAGGGCATCCACACACAATTTTGGATGAGGAATGGTTGGGGTGAAAACATATATATACGAAAACATTTGGGTTTATGAAACCAGTTCAACTGAAAAATAACAAAATATTTCCTTAATGAGCTAACCAAATGGATCCTTACTCATGAGTTTTTCATATCCTTTGGATCTAAACCCTCCTTCAAAAATCTCCAATTAGAAAATGGTATCTTCACCCCTAAATAAAATAATGGAATCGAGCTTGTTGTATAACATATATTTGAAACAGTTTTATTGTACAATTTAGTAATTACATTTAGATATGGATCAAGAAATGATAGCACTACCATGTAACAGTTCAGTAAGGTCTTGTAGCGAATAGGGATCCAGTCTGATCAAGGGAATTGTGACATAGGCAAGTTGAAGGAAGTAATGTTGAAAGAGTATGGTAATGCTTAGTCAGATACAGATTGGGTGGTGGCAAACTTGATAGGACAAATATATTTCGATAAATTGGTAATTATAGACAGCGCTCAAATAAATATATCAACAAACAACATAAATATATATATTTATTAATTTATTCACAAAAAAGTGCAGGAGTGGGACAAAAAGAATACTAAAAATAGGCTTAAATATAAATCACGTTTCCCCTAAAAGTTCAATAATAAATTAGTCATATTCAATGTCTTTTTGTTCTTCTTTTACTTGGTTACTGTTTTTTTGGGGGGTCAAAAAAATTGAGAGGTGGGATGTGGCTTGATGAGATTGTATAGTAACAATTTAATAGAATGCTAGTTGGTGATATCTGAATCAACAAAAAGACACAAGGGAGGTAATTGTGAAAATAATTTTAAGTCATCAGAGTTTTATAATTGTTTATTGCCGAGTTATAGAATAATCTACAATTTAAAAATTTGATGACTCTGACAGTAGTAAATGGAACTTGCAGTTTTAGTGTAAATTATGAGTGGAACAAGGCAGGTTCCACTTCAATACAAAATAGTCAACTAATTTTCTAGTTAAGACATTAATTCTTTTTCTTATTCTTGGCAATTTTTTGTTTCTGTGATGGGAAATTTGGTAAACATTTAAATACAACTAACAGAATAAGAAAAACTCCAGCCACAATATAAATAATAAACCACAGTTTTCTGTCTAAAATGGATTCTAATAATGATCTTTTAACTTCTAATAATTCAACTTCAAATAAAAGGGTGGCATTAGCTAAAAAAAAGAAAAAAAAGAAAAGAATTGATTACATATAATTATAATTGATGATTTGTTATTATAAGATAATCAAGTTTCAAAATAGTTTCAATAATTCAGCTCTTCCACTAGTGACATGCAGAGGTTTGGTGATGCCCAGTGCCAACTGCATGACTGTATGCCCCCGAGACTCAAGTATTGGGCCTACTACTTTGAAATGTGCAAAAGGAATACATTTTAAATATGTAAAAACAAATGAAATAAACCTGTATTCAAATTAAGCAGGATAGCATGTACAACAAAGTTAACAGCATAAATTTCTAACTACAAAAACCTTAATCTTAATTTCATTCTTAAATTGGATCCTACCATTCAATGGATGGATGGGATCGTCAGCCCCTCTGCCCCCTTCTAGCTAGTAATAAATATTTTAGGTTATTGCTGCGGCAATCAAAATGGCTGCATCTTTCATTGACTAGAAAAAATTTCTAACTATAAAAATCTTAATATTAATTTCATTCTTAAATTCAATCCCACCATTCAATGGATGGCTGGGATCGTCCCCCCCTCTGCCCCTATCCAGCTAGTAATAAAACTTTTTGGTTATTGCTGCATCTTTCATTGACTAGCCTATACGTGTTGTAATGAAATCCAACTTTTCTGCACCTACCAAGCATATGTCATACAGTGTACTATGAGGAAAATTTTGCCTGGATAGCAATTTCATGGGTTCTTTGATATTTTAAAAATGTGTACATGGGACCTTGGTTTTTCATACCATTTGAGCGGCTAGACACTGTCCTTGCCAGGCTCTTGGTCCCCATCACTGGCAAGGGGAAATCGCGCCTGGAAATCTTTAGGAACTTTTGCGGCAAACACTGGGATTGTACTAGGGACCTCCAGATTAGCGAACTAGTGCCTTACTAACTGAGCCACCACAGCCTCCATACAAGTGTTGAGGTGCTAGTTATGGGAGATGATTACCAGTAGGTATTTGGTTTGTTTATTGGGTCATAGAAATTACATCATATCTGTGGGCTAGGTCATCATTATCTATCTATTGTTAGAATATAGAAATTGGTGAAGAAAATAATGCAACATTTTGTTCATATTTTAATTGAAAAAATAAAAATAAGTAGTAAGTAATACATACCTGGAATAGAAGGTGGCTTGCCTTCTTCCCCATAAGCCATATCAGAAGGAACTTCTATAAATCTCTTCTCTCTGAAAAATGTCACTAGTAAATGAACAAACATCACATATCTTCTGTGGAAACCAAATTATCATAACTATTTCCTAAATTAGCAACCATCGTTGACCAAATCTGAATAAGCACCATCCAAGCAATATTCCTACTGCATTTTATTGAAATATTTCATGTGGTTTTGAATTTTTGACGTCAATAAATGTGAAAATTTTCCATTAAATTTACTGACATTAAAACTGAAACTACATTACAATTTGGGCAAAAAACAATTTAAAGAACAAAACATTTATGATAGTGTAAAAAAAAGCTGAAGGTGAAAGGCACTTGGCAGCAGTTAGAGAACAAACCACATAGTTGCATGTTCGATTCTCACTATCTCTGTATCTATTTAGGTGTATCCAAATATAATTGTGTAACTGCAGAAGGTAGTTTACAGTATAATGTAAAATATGCAAGTCTCTGACAATCAGTAATCACAGAGTAATACTTCCGGTTGGACAGAAGATGTTAACTAAATTGTTAGATCCCTTTATATGCACAAGAGCAGAAAAGCTGACCATGCTAGCTGTAACATCCAAGTTTAAACAATTCCATCGATATCACTTGTCCAGCAATGTTTTCATAAGATTTCTATAGGTTTGTAATTATCACTTATGAAATTTAAAAACAGTATTCCGGTCATTAACATAATAAATTTGAGGCGAGACCTCTTATGGAGAGCTTAATATTTTGAGAAAAGGTATCTAAACAGGTTTTTTGTCTATACATTTTTGGGTTGGACTCACTATTTTTTCGGAGAGTCAGTGAAAACTGGGACTTCCCTTTTTAAGACTAAATGAACAATTGCTGCAAATTTGAAAAAAATAATCTTCGAAGAACCAACAGACACAAGTGATTAGAGTATGTCGACATATAAAAATTACATTATTTTCTGACTTACCCAACACACATAGAGATCATTCCATACTCAAGACCTGAAAAAAAAATTAACCCCCAAAAACATAAAATAATTATGAAAAAAAACTATTATAAGTTTAAACAAATATGATATGTGATTGTGTAAATCAGCAAAATGGAAGGCATCAACTGTTCAAGTATCGATGATATCAACAATAATTTAATAATAGAATTGTGGCAAGGCAGACCATACATGGTGCTTGCGGGTGGGGGATGCATCTTCTACAGCATTCACCAATTTGTTGATCATGTGATAAATAAATTGACAGTCACATATTAAGTGTAATCGCTATCCTATGGTGACGAAATGAGCGTTCCAAATGCAGTTGCTCCCAGTTGCTGATTTGGTCAACATAAACGAAATGAAATGGGGTTTAACGTCCTACTGTTCTTCCCCGACTGGGCTAATGAAGATGGAAATTTGGTCGACATAGCAGACTTATTGCAATCAGTGAAAAGTGAACATCAGCCCCGCTTTATAGGATCATTTACTAGTTGTTGAGTGCACCACTGCCGTGCATGTGATAGTGTGGATTGGGGCAGTCTAAAGAGCCCTATCTAGGGTGGTTTTGATTGGGGTGGTCTAAAGAGCCCTATTTAGGGTGTTTTGGGCTGGTCTGAGGGCTAAAGGATTAAATGTAAATAATACATATTTTACTTGGATTAAAGATGGGTTCCCAGAAAAGTATTTATCGGGTGGTTATTTCCAATAAAAGTATGGTAATTTTGGTATATATGGAAAGTGGAGATATCCAATCTTACTAGAAAAATACTGGATTCCCCGAAAAACACTCATGGATCGTACACAGGACAGAAATGTAAGGGTTCCCCTAATCAACAGTCCGTTGATTAGGAATTTCTGCACGCCTGATGTCAAAGGTCACACGCGAACATTGAGCGCTTGATGTACAAGTTGATAAACTTTATGAAGAGTTAGACGTACAACACTTTCTGAGATAAAAATGACGGAAAAAGACGTGGGTAGTGGATAATCCGAGAATTTAATTAGGATTCGATATTTGTAATAAATAGTAAGCGATTAAAGACAACATCGTCTTATGTATGCAATGAATTCTCCTCTGACTTCCGAGAGAGGTAAGTCACGTAACGTAAACATGACCTGGTTTGATCAAATTTTTATAGCAGGACATTCCTTCACAATTACAATGTTTTAGAATGATTTGAAGCAAAGTTATGACAAATTAATTAGTTTGAATATGTTTTTAGTCCATATATACCATTAAATCACCCAGTTTGTATGAGGGAACCCATCTTTAAGCCATGAGATATTTTATATTTTAGAGAAAATGCAAATGACACATCAAGCTTTAAAGACAATGTTGGTGTCAGCCATTATCACACATGTGATAGAACTGGTTAAACACATTCCAAATATAATTTTAACACAGAGATCATTGCTATGATAGATGAACAAAGATTTAAAGAAACAGGTTATCAACCTATGATTTTTATTTCTTTCCTACACTGTCTTACCTAGAATAACTTCCCTAGCCCCAACCTTAAATGTATCTGGTTCCTTGTCATAGGTGTTTCTTAGGACTGTTCCATCTATTAATCTACACTGAAAAATGTAAGTCTGAAGTAGTGATGGGCGGTGTGTATAACAGCAATGTTAAAACCCCAATGCTCGTACCAGAATAAAGGTTAAATATAGAGTTTACGATCATACACAATCAAAAGTAGGCTTAAAAGACATATTCATCCAAACCTAATTCAAATAAATCAATTCTAACTTTGGTTACAGTGATAAAAAGTTTACATTGATTTCTAATAATTCTTAGACAAATAAAGTAGAATAATTTTTGAATACTAGCCAGATATTTCTTCTTAGAGGTCATTTTTATACACAGATGTGTTTATTAACATAAATCAATGATGAGGTTATAGTTGACACACATTGATAAAATTACATATTTATTATTATTGTAACTTATCTACATTTAGCTTAAGCAGAAAATGCTTATGATGAAACTTTGTCAAAGTTTTGGTGTAGTGAAACTATAGACAAAGTTTCATCACTATCCCACAATATAAATCAAAGTCATCATGGGAGGACCTGCAGAACATCCATGAGGTCGGGGAGGCACCCTACTCCTTCTCACGTGCAACCTTGGGAGAGAGAGAGAGAGAAATGGGGTTTAACGTCCACTCGACACAAACAAGGTCATTTCAGGACTAACATATGGTTCAATTTTATTTCAATAATTCGCTTGCGCGTAGGGGTCTTTAGCAGCGGGAGGAAACCGGAGGACCCGGAGAAAACCCACGAGGCTGGACAGGCGACCCTACTCCTTGTCACGTACAACTGGGGATTCGAAACCACTCCAGTTGACTCAATGACAGGTCTTATGATACAGCACTCACATGCTAACCATTCGGCCATCCAACCCCCCCCCCCCCCCCACAACCTTGGGATCAAAACCTCACCACTTGACCCAATGACAGACCTTATGATCAGTTATCTCAGAGTTATTACGTTCCAAAATCTCGACAAATCAAACAAGCCAACAGTGAGGCTGATGTCTCCTGCCCTAATCCCAAAACAACAGGCCAACAGTGAGGCTGATGTCCCCCGCCGAAATCCCAACATAAATAGATGACACATTTTAATTTATAGCACATTTATTTTTTTTCAAAAGTGTCAGCAATCAAACTGATTATCAACTATACACCAAGTTTCATCACTCTCTATCAGATAGAGTCAAAGTTATCTTGTCCTAAAAAGCATCGACCAATAAAATTGCTTAGCTCTGCTTGGCTTTAGCTCGAAATGTTAATCATTGAACTCAGTCAAGACATTCACCTAATGAACATCTACATCAAGTTTAAACATTCTATCTCAATTAAAAGCAGGGTTGTTATGTTCCAATGTCTTTACCAATCAAATTGCTTATCTCTTCTTAGCCTAAGCAGAAAATTCTCATCATCAAACTGCTTATCGCTCTGAGAAAATGCTCATTATCTGACTTAGTCAAGGTTTTGATGTCATATTAAGCTAAAAAATGCTATCATTACACTCAGTCAAGGCATTCACCTAATGAACACTTATTTGAAGATTCTAGCTCAATTAGAAGCAGGGGACAAAAACTTCTTTACATTAAAATAGTATATATTTTAAAATTAAGATAATATATGTGAGTGATCGGATATACTTTTAAAGATTACAGTAACACACTGCGACCCCCATATCATCCTTGTGGAATGTTATAAGATGAAACTTAGTACTTACTGTATAATGTACAACAACTCGATCACCAGTTGCAGCTTTAGTTTTACAATCTTCTGATACTCTCTAAAATGTCAGAAATAAGAATCATAGATACAACAATCTTTTTTACTTTATTATACAATGATAGTATTTATTTCCTTGGATACATGTGCAAGGCGAGGGGAAGAATTTTACCAGGACTGCAACATTTCTTTCTATGAAATAGTCAAATATATATGCACTTACCAAAACTTTAATCTTTAATTCACGTTTTGCATTACAGAAAACCAAACACATACTCATTAATGCCAAAAGCATGCATATTATCCATCTTGCTGCAGCCATCTTCTATCAATAAAATATCCACTCACACACACACATTAAAGGAAATGAACAATTAAAGTAAATAATTTCTAACTATGTTAAATAGCAAAACATGAGGAAAGCATATCGTAAGACTACAGCTACAACTTGGTATGCCACATGTCGTCCAAAGACTTTGTTGTCCAGTGAATTCTGTCATAAAAGAAAATATTGACTTTTCTAATGCTATTATAACAAGCTCCATCTGAAGAAAATTGAATGCACACATGTACACTTCACGACACACTAGGAAACACATGATTTTTGATCAATAAAGATCATCTTATTTGTAGTTTTTTGGTATCCATTTTGTGGAAACACTAAGTGCACTCTAATGACATGCTGAGGTAATGATAAAATACAAGTGAATTGGTTTTTTAATTTGCTATTTGAAAACAGATGTCACGTGTACGTACTGGCGTGCACAAACGGAACCCTTGTCAGTTGGAATTTGATAGAGTAGGCAAATATGCTACTGTCTGGGCAAAATATCACATATAGCTTACTACATTAGCTCGGTTGGTGCAGAAAAGTAGGATGTTAACCCCCAATTCATTTGCATTGTCACTAGACAAATAAAATTTACAGATGCCTACAGATTGCAGAAACAATAGGTAGAATCAATAACACCTGGTGTTATATTGATCAAGACAAATGACTTGGTCATCCAGTTTTAGTTGAAAATCCATAAATCTGCTTTAATAAGTTTTGAATAAAGAGGGTTATATTCACAGCAGAGTTGGTTTATGCCCTGGTTTAATAATGTAATTTGATTGGTTTGATTGTGACTGTTATACTTAATACTTGGTCTGATTGTGACTGTTATACTTAATATTAACTAATCACTTAGATTTTAACACTTAAGTTTTAGATAATCCATCATTCAGTAATTTATATTTGCGTCAAGTAGATAATATCAAAATTTGATGATTATTTTAGAATTAATGCTTAAAGTCTCAATTAAATAACCTAAATTGGTAAAACCTTGGTTGTCCTGCCCAGTTGTATTTTGTAAGATTGGTGAAACGGTCAAATGTATAAAGAGGTATATGAAAACTGAACATTTATGCAATTTATGTTCGCTTGGATGAAAAAATGTGTGTGCTGTAATGACAGACATATATTTGCATCATTTTTACATTTTACAATTAAAACTAGAAATGGATTGTGTCATGCAAAAGACAAGGTATGTTCACCCATTTCAAGTTAAATACCCCAAGAAAGCATTATTTTGATTAAGTCTGGCATTGGGCATCTGTCAGAATTTTTATTTGACTACTCAAAGTAGTGGAGGGAAAGGGAGGGGGATGTATCACTGTTGACAATTGATAAGGGCTCTTTGGGTAGTTTTTCAAGTTTTGGATTGAGCGGTGTTGAGTTTTGAGTAGAGTTAGTTCCGTGTCGGTGTTGAGTTATCACATTCAAGTCTGGGACTGAATTCATAACATACAGAATAACAGGCTTTATAATCTATAGTGAGTCATTTGTTTTTTATTGTAGTTTGTGTGTCTTGTCTGCTGGTTTGTCTTACGAGTCTTGTTTGCATATAGCGCAATCCTCCTGCACTTACTATTAGTAAAACCAAATGAAAAAAAAACACCATATCTATCAATATTTTATTTTCGTTTTTTATTTTTTTTAGTAGATGTACTTGTTGTCTTAGTTTCAGCATTATATTTATTATACAAATAATAGATGATATATAAAATGAGGGCAGGTATGGACAAAAAGCGTAATGTTTTAAACAATGTATCTTCAACACCTTTATGCTTTAATGACATGAGTTCTGTTTCAAAAATCAGTGTTGAATCCGCTGAAAAATAATATTTCACAAAATAAAACATTTGAGAATAGGAGGCACTTATTTGGTTTTTTGAGGTGTATTTTCTTATGAAAAATGGCACTCAGAACATTTAACTGACAGTTGGCCAAGACAACATTTCTGCCTCTAGTTTCAATCTCATGATCTCTCCATACTCCCTCAATACTTGACCAGTAATGAGATTTAAAATTCTAAGCCAATGTCTTCTCAGAATTCAACAGACAGCAGAGCTCTTTATTCAAAAGATTTTGGAGGAGGTCTACAGGAAGGTTATAATGGTCACATTGCAGCCTGCCACCTTGCATTTTTAAATTTAATTCAGTCATACATCTCAATCAAACACAATAAAATTCATGTTTTGCAACTCACGAGGAATTTGTGGTGGACTTCCTTTTTTACCATAGGCTAGATGGGATGGAATAGTTAAAAGGCGCTTTTCACTGAAATAAAAATAAAATTCATATTAATTCTCAACTTCCAAGTGATCTATTATGTGCAAGTCAATGTATACACGGGACCTCGGTTTTCCATCCCATCCAAATGACTAGACAGCTTTCCTTGTTAGGCCCTCCATCCTACACCACTGACAAGGGGAAAACCACACAGGAAAATCAGGATGAACTTTCTCGGCCAATGCAGGGATCAAACACGCGACCTCCAGGCTTGCTAGCCAGCGTCTTACCCATGTAACTACCATGGCTCCTTTTCCATAAAGGGAATGAATGATTAATAAAAGTAATACATACCCAACACACATGCCTAAAATACCCTGCTCCCATCCTGTATTTAAAAAGAAATAATTTCATTTAATCAAGTAAGTTGAAACAAGAATTCTTTTTTTTTTAGTTATCTGTCTGTAGCATAAGAATATGTTCCTGTTTCTCAAAGTACATGTAAAACTTAGGTACAAGTAAATTCATAATCAAATAGAGAATGAGAATATATTACAAGAGATGAACTGAGAGCAGGGAATATCAATAGGGCTGATCCTCTCATTGTCCCAATGCTTCACATCAAAATTGAAAAAAAAGTCAGTTAAAAACTAATTCAAGATTTACCATTATAATTTAGTCTGTCGTACATACATGTATGCTGAAAAGGGCTCGGTTTTAAAAATAGTGTCCTTATTTGTCAAGGCTATTGAATAGTTTAAGGGAACTTGCCCAAATTGGGGACAATGAACAATGATCAAAATATACATTGTTTAATATGTTGATTATAATCTAAAAACACTATTTTTCGTACAATCAGGGGCCATAATTCATGAAGTTACGTTCCGATACATGCCAATACCGACAGGAATCAAGATCTATGGGTTATAAACCTATATTTCAAGTTTCATCAAAATCAGATAAAAATTGTGACCTGTAGAGTGTCAACAAACAAAATGTGCATGGACAGACACAAGGATGGACAGACACAAGGATGGACAGACATGGGCGATAGCATAATACATAAACATGAAAATTTCAAATATTCAAGATCGAATCATTTCTCAGGTAGGGTGGGGACGATCATCAATATTTTTTTTTTATGGCCTAATGCAAATCTACTTAATGTTGCATAGGTTTCGACAAACAGGACCGCTACCCTGGGTTAAAGAATGATACATAAAATTAACTGGCTAGAGAATTTATCTGTCAGTCAATTAACATAATCATAAAAATAGGTATCACCAACAATTAAACCATAAAACACAATAAATACAGTTAAAATGATATACCATAATCATTTTTTTTTTGTTAAAAAACTTAGCAATGGATTGAAAAATTGAGAAAATGGCAAAAATGTCAAATTTCTGTGAAGAAAAGTTCTGGTTAATCTGATATAAATTACCAGATGGAATCAATTATTTATAACGAAAAACCATGACAGAAATCTAGCTGATAGACAATACCAGAGAAACTTTGACCCAAAATTTTCCTTCTGCTTACCTGGAATAACTCGCCCTTCTCCGAGGACAAAAGCAATAGGATCTCGTTGTTGTTGAACAGAGGAATCAAATACCACTCCAGTCTCTAAACGTCCCTGAAAAAACAAATAATTATTTTTATTCTTATGTAATGATTCAGAGTGCCATGGGCATGTTTTCATGCAGAGAACTACTGTCGTCACACTATGGATTAGAAATTTCAGTTTTACTTGTACACTTCATTCAAAGTCTTTTATTTATCATCTACATGTACATGTAGTTGCAATGGAAGATACGACCACGTTTTCCAGGAGATTGGCAGGGAAAATTGATAATGCTCACTAGCAATTGCGCCAATGCTTCACATCGAATTTGAAAAAAATCTGTTGACTTCTAGAGGGTCCACAAGCTATGTATTTAATTGTGTACAATCAGGGGTAATAATCAAGAAAGTTATGGTTTGATATGTGCCAAGATCTTTGGGATATAAACATATAAAAGATTATTATTTTCAGTTACATCAAAATCGAATAAACATTGTGACCTCTAGAATGTTCATAAACAAATGGACGATGACATAATACATCCACATGAAAATGTGGGTTTATAAAAAAAGAATCAAAAAGAAAAAGAAATGAAGGTACGAGGTCTAATTAGATTGAAATTGATCATTACTTACGGTATAATGGACAGCAACTTGATCTCCATTTACAGCATTAGGATAACAATCACCTGGCTTACTCTGTAAAAAGAAAAACACAAGGTTTAAAAAAAAAGTATTGGAGCCTATTCATATTGCATTATTTTTGTATTATTATTCTGCTTTATGTTATATTGTCATAAAAACAAAGCAACAAATGATATAACATCCGTACAAAATATGAAAATGACAAACAATACAAACTCTCTAAAATGGAATGGGGTTTAACATCCTACGTTTTTGTATCAATGGGTGCTCATATAGATGTGCATATATCATGCTGTGTGGTATGCCTTGAAAGAAATGTTTCCTAAATAGCAGCATTTCGGCCTACTCTTCATTGAATTCTAACTTTCAAAGATCCATTTACATGCAAGCCATAATTGACATTCAAATGGTACTGACGAGAGGAAAACTGGCTGGACAATCTAGAAGTACATTCTCGGCAACCACCAGGATCGATAGTGAGGCAAACTGTCAAAGTGCATCTAGCTCCTAGTTACACCAATACAGAAAATGCAATATAATCCACCTTTCCCACAATCAACATCAATATTAAAGGGTTCTTGTAATCACCAACAAGAGCAATTTTTTTTTGTCAGTATCGCCCGAAGTAGATGTATTGCAGTATTGCAAAAAGTAACCAACAAGGAAGATATGTTATAGATATGCATATTCTACATTCCATGTTGAAAATTTAAACAATTTCATAAAAAAACCTGACAGAATTGTTGGTTTTTTGTCGGTGATTAGTAGGGCCACAACAATTATACCAGACTTGTTTTTTGGTGGCCAGTGCAAGGTTTCACTTTACAATCTGTCTATCACCAACATTAACCACATTATAATGGAATAAAGTGTTAATATTGTAAGAAAAAAACGGGTGTGCAGATTCTAAAATCGATCCTCCAAATGAAGATTTATATATATAGATATTAAAACCCATGGATAACATTGTGATACATGTAAGTACCATAATGCTTAAAGATGCAGTATGTAAGATTTAGATGATAACGAGCTGGTCGTTCTTGCCATAATAATTTCAAGACAGATAATAGAAAATGAATATATTGAAAATTTCATTCAAATTATTTTATTCTGAGTGAAGTTATCACTGAAGTTTTGACATGCTGTGGCATAGATTGTATATTATGGCAACAAGGGTACATAGTCATGTGAATAAATGTCTAAATAATATATAGTATTTGAAGAAAACATAGACATGCAATATGCGATTTAGCTCTTACATAGGGCATCTTTAAATATTATGTATTATAAACCAGGAAATACTGTGAATACACATGAAATGCACAGTTTATTGGTCTGCAACTGTATGGTTTGTTTGTATATTCAGCATAAGATATTCAAGAAAACACTAATAATACACAGTAAACCAATGAATTACCATACATTGTGTACATATTATAAACTATTTGCTACTAATATGGTACTTGGATGTGAAGGGTTTTATATTGGAAAATAACAATTAGCTTGTCATCTGTTCTCAAGGGCGTTTTCTTTTAAAAGAAGGAAATAATAATATATATTGTTACAATTGTCATTTAATTCTCATATAAGCAAAAAGAAAATGTCGCTTATAAGTGTAATGAAAGAGCAATTGAATAAAATACATAAAAATTAGTTATTTTAGGAACGGTATCTTGATCCGATCAGATACCGTTCCTAAAGGCTAAAGAAACAAAAACATATCTTATTCGACTGTCAAATATGCAAACCAGGAAGGAATAAGGGAACGGGTCGGTCATTTAATGCACAATTCTCAAGACATTAAAGTCATGGTATAAAATTAAATTGTTAACCCGGACGTATAGACATATGCCTGGAAATATAACTAACTCAGACACCCAACATCAGAGGTCAAATGCAAATAACAGTACTTTACCTTCGTATCTACTTTCAATTCCGTGACTTTGGCGCTTGCAAATAATGCCAAAAGGACGACTGACACCACAAAGCAAGCTGTCGTTTGTGTGAATGACATTCCCGTCATTTTGGAATGTCTGAGTATCGAAATCTCGTTGGAAATTATTCAACCATTAATTAAATTCTCATATTCGATTTTTCACGTCAACATTTGGGAGCTCCGCTTGTTCTTGATGTAAACCATATGCGCCAATGAAAATTCGACGCATATTAGATGTTCGATTATCCAGCTAAAATATCCACACGACATTTTATTATTGATATTTTTACGTTTCAAAATGACTGTAAAATTATAATTCTCATTAACAGTGCAGGGGAGAAAACCCATTTTAAAATGAGAAAAGAAACCCACAGTTACTTCCCATGGAAAGGAGAAGGGATTTTTTTTCAGAAATAACTTTCAATCTTCTGTATTTAAAAATCAAAATCATTAATGACAAATATTTCCAATTAATTTGGAAATAGGCTCTCTTTTTTCCCTTCCAGAAATGTATAACAGACCTAAATCACACTTCTCTGACATGTCCACCAATTTTTTGCAAACTCTTTAGCTTAATATGGAGGCACAGATTTTGGAATGGGATATTGCCAGCTGGGGGTCTTTAAGCTGGTGAACTTTAGTAAAGTGATATCGGGGGTTCCAAAGCACATCAGTGAAAATATGATATATATTGGAAGTGGAAAAAGTAGTATGGCAGTCAACAAATCCTTGTATAGACCTACTGCTTCCAAATATTTCACATTTCTAATTTATCTCCTGATGAATCAGAAAATTAAAATCAAATTTGAAAATTTTTAAATATATAATTAAACATTTTTTATTTTATTTTTAACACTCCATGCCTTAAATTATAAAACACAAAAATATTTCATCAACTAAAAAAACAATTATTTTCAAGAAAATGTTTTTAAAAAATCACAGTTAGGCTCATAACAATTAACAATAAACATCACAAGTAGATGATAAACAAAACAGATCGTAATGAAATGGGGTTTAACATCCTACTTTTCTGTTCCAACTGGGCTAATGAAGACAGTAAAACAGATCAAAGTAACAGTCTTGTTTTACAAAGCACAGGTAAAAATAAGACTTTTTTTTTTTTACATATTCCTAAACATACTATTAAACTTAAGTGTACTATAAGCAGGCCCTTAGTTTAAGGAAATACCTTAAGAACAAAAGTAACTAAATTATTGTGTTTTAACATTTTAATTAATTCTGGAACAATTGTCTCAAAAAATGTAACCCTAATTGAATAAACAAAGGTAAAAATAAATTGGCATCAATAATTTAGAATTTAGATTGTTATAACTTTAGGTTTCATTTCCTTCAGCCGCCTGCAATAACATGGCCCCCAAATTCACTAGAGATAATTTGATTGGTGAATTAGAAAATGTTCTTAATATAATGTAGTACAACTTCAGAATTGTAACAAAAGAGGCATTGACATCTGATTTAAATCAGATTGGATAAAATTAAAATGTTAAACAAAATGAAATTATATAAATAAATCTTGTAACCAATTTGATTTCATTATTTCATATAAGATCTTGAATAATAAAAAAATAAATCATGAGGTTTTTCTGAATTATTAAAATTTTTATGGAATAAACAAAATGAAGCCAATAAGGCAGTGAGCTCTTACATAATGCATCTGTAATCTACAGGCATAAACTTTAAGTGTAAAAATTAAACAGCTCATGTCTTTTTTAACATGACCACTTATCATATAATGCTATAAAAATACCTTATATTGAGACAAACTCATTGACATGTAATATTTATTAAATCTTTGAAAAATAAATTTAAATATACATGAATAAATAAATAACAAACAAGTTCAAACAATCAATGATGTTTGAATTTATGTAAAGTGACTCAATAATTTATAAAAAGAATAATCAAGTAATTTAGATAATGTGAAATATACTGAATGACTCACAAAAGAAGACAAATTTTTGATTTTTTTTCTTTCGTTTCTTTTATATGTGTTTGTAATTCTTGTAATCGAGATGTCATATCATCCAACTGTTCCTTCACAGATCGATTTGTAGCTAAATCATCAGCTGCTTTCTGAAAGTATGATATCTTCATAGTAATAATCAGATTTCAATAGATATATAATATTACTGCAATGGCCTTCAGAAATTTTGATACAGCTCATATTGTTCAATTTTATTTTCAAAAAGTACATGTCTGTTTACTAGATAAATATGCTTAAGATAAAATAAAATATTATAATTTCCTTTATCAATTTTATCATGAAGAATACAAAATTTTATTATGTCTCTGCATAAAAAGTTTTTAAAATAATTCCAGACAGTTATCTGTGAAAAGGGTTTAACCAACCTCCACTTGACACAAACTATGCAATTTCGGGTCTTCAGGGATCAATTATCTTAATAATTCGCTTGCACCTATAATAGTCTTTAGCCGTGGGAGGAAACCGGAAGAAAACCCATAAGGTTACAAAGGATTAGACAGGCGACCCTACTCCCTGTCACCACAAATTCGGACTGAAAACCACGTCACATGACTCAAGGACAGACCGTATGATCTAAAATGCACACATCCCCCATCCCCCACTAAAAAAAAATGTATTGATAATTTAAACAATGAAAATTACTTTTTAAAACAATATCTAAAATGTCAACCTAAATGTACAAATTGAAAATATGTTACCTTTTTAGCCCAGGCTTTGATATCCTTTGGTTTCAGAGACTGTATACTGCCATCCCGTCTGATGTACACACTCCCTTTAAACTCATATAATTCATCATGGGCTTTGGACGAGTGAACACTGACTTCTATTACTTTTAAATTATCTGAAATATAATATCAATCTACAAAATAGAAATTGCGTACTTTTGCTTTTATTTTAAAGATATTGGCCCTATTCCCTCTTACATGAAAAGGATGGCTTAAGAAAAATTACAAGGTTCTTTATATTCTGGCTATGTGGGTAAGACGCTGGCTTGCTAGGCATTGGCCGAGTAAGTTCATCAGGATTTTCTGACATGGTTTCCCCCTTGTCAGTGGTGACACGGACAGCTGTCTAGTTGTTTGGATGTCTTGAAAAAACGAGGTCCTGTGTATACATTGGTGTGCATATAAAAGATCCCTTGGAAGTTGGAATTCGATATAAAAGAGAGAGAGAAATGGGGCTTAACGTCCACTCGACACAAACCAGGTCATTTTGGGACTAACACATGGTTCAATTTTATTTCAATAATTCACTTGCGTGTAGGGGTCTTTAGCAGTGGGAGGAAACCTGAGGACCCGGAGAAAACCCATGAGGTTGGACACACAACCCTACTCCTTGTCACGTACAATCGGAGAATCAAAACCACACCAGTTGACTCAATGACCAGACCTTATGATACAATGCGCATGCGCTAACCATTCAGCCATCCAACCCTCCTTGATATAAGAGTAGGCCATAGTGCCGCTGCCCAGACAAAATTTCCCTTATAGCACACGGTATGGCATATGCCTGTCTTCATTAGTCCAGTATAGCAGCAGAACAGTAGGACGTTAAACCCCATTTCATTACATTTCTTTATTTTGTTAGGAACTGAAATCGCCATAGAAATTAATGCCACTGGCACTGAGTCATATTTGTGGCATTCACATTAATCACTTGTTTTATACTAATACAATGTCTATCAAAATTATACCTGAGAATGTTCCATTATTCAGAACAGGGATAAAGGCAATGGAATACATTTGAGGAAATATTGATGGATCTATTTGTTTTATAGCTTGATCTATTTGTAATCTGAGATAATCTTCTTCTTGGTGACTACATATAACACCCTGTATCAAACCTAGAAAAAATTAAAACAAGATGTCCAAGGACAATAATCATTCATTGGGAATACATACATGTATAATGATTATATAAACAGGTTTGGTAATACAATGTCTGTGAATAGGTGAAGTCTATTCAAGTAGTGCACACCTTTTAGCAATCTAATTGTTATGTTTTTCCCATTTATTTGGTTAGACCCTGCATTAATATCTACAAACAGATGTTTAAGATAAGTGTATTTTGGGACTTCACAACTGCAACAATACTGTTGATCTTGATTAGACACCCAATCAAGTGTTTTGATAATCAAAGCCTTTCAAAGGACTTGGCAGGATTTTCTGTTAAATTGCATGGAATGAACATGTTGCAGGACGAGATTTTTTGTATAATTCCACATTTAAGTGCCGATGGCTAATGGATAATGAGTCTTAATGACCAAAACTTCAAAAATGAGTTATATATGTCATATTAAAGAGAATATCATAAGCTGTCTAATGCTCTACCTTACTCCATCATCAAGATATTCAAGTTCAAAGTCTGAGAGTCCAGAAATAACTATTTCGATAAAACTTTGTTTATATATGTTCAAAATTTCTGCTATGCATGACAAAAGTCATGGTTAAAAATGTCAAACTGCCACTAAACTTGACACAATGGTTAAGAACATCAGATTTCAACATAACAAGTAATTTCAATAAAATCATGCTTTCAGGAATATTCCTATTTAACATTGTCACAAAAATAATCCAAATCGAGATCGTTCTGCCGATGCAGACAAATTAAAAGCTGTCAAACCGTTCATACATTTCGCCACGGTTTGCTCTTTCGAAAAAAGCGCCATTAAAATAAGGGAGGTTTGTTTACTAAAACTACGCAATTTTTTAAAAATTGACCAGTTTTAATTCGTAACTTTATAATTTTCTGTCTGTTGACGACAACTCGAAAGGCAGTCATCATCTTGGTTGAGGCCACATTGCCAAAGTTCAACCAATCAGACGTCGCGGTAGATGGGTCACGTCATTGACATCACTTGGTCACGACCTCCCCGACGTCACATAGCAACAAGGCGAGTTTGTTTATTATTTTAAACGTGGCTATTGGCTGAGTAGTGGTGTTGAATATTATAATGAGTATTATAAATAGAAAGAAGGGATTTTGCCGGTTGTTTTGGTATAGGTGACGTGCAGGGCTTCCTTCGGCAAAATGGCTACATTTCCAGCGAAATTGGTCAATTATGGCTTTGTTTCAAGTAAGTTGACCTATTTTTAGTAAACTACTGTTTACTAATTGCTCCATTTCTACCATTTTCTTGCTACTAAAGTGTGCCGGGTTGAATTTAGTATTCGAAAATGGTCAAAACTAAATTTTGAAAATTTTTGAACTCGGACACAAATTAGCGTATAATTAGAAAACTACTTGTGCGACTTATGACTCATTTTGCTATCACGGACTACATATATTTTATAATTGTAAATTCTGTTGTCTGTTAGTTAACACAATCAAAATTGTGTATAGTTATTGGTACCTTTGCATAATTGGAAGGGCTGTACAACTCACAATTATAAAACATAATTTTTTCATTACCCACTAAACTTTTATCGCTTCTTACCTCTATCATTCACACCAACAAAAAGCGTTCCACCTTCCAGACTGTTCATAAAACCACAGACATACTTCCCAACATGTTCATATAACACGCTATGTTTATAATTACCACGGCCTTCTTTAAATTCTACATTTCTTGTTTCATTTCCAAGTTTGTCATTTAAACGATAAAATTTCCCTGCAACTGATGGTGTTAGTCCTGAAAATAGAGTTAGATGTTTATTCATCTGGTTATCTTTCAGATGTTTCCATATTAAAGAGGTCCAATGAGTCTATCAACTTTGGGTCCTACATATGTCTTTTGGTAAAAATTTAAGGCCAGTTATGTCCCCTTGAGCATAATTCTGTATGGTCCTTTAGACTTATTTTTATTTGAAAGTATGGTATTTCTAGTTTACACTAAGATATTTTAAGACATTACTCAGGAAATCTTTTATTTGAACAATCAATGTAAATATTTCGCAATTCATTATTAAAACTCTCCTTAATCAAAATCTTAAAAGTCAAGTCTTGTCTGACATTACCTGATACAGAAGTGGCTGCATCTAAAGACCTCCCTTTGGCAATATGGCTTCCACTGGATTTTGTTAAACTACTGATAGAAGTTCCTGCTTCTACTGTTGACTTCACCTGGCCTTGTAGTTGTAATCCATTGTTAGAATAATCAAAATTTCTGTCATCTATTTTGTCTTTTGGCTGAACACGAGGTGAATTTTTATTATTTTTTTGTCGAGTGATGTAAAAATCTTTCAAACATTGAGAGATGGCATAGAAATCAAAATTCACTTTTCTTCGACTTTCCTGACTATGCAGATGGTAAAGAACATAATCAAGAGTTTGTGAATCGTCAAAATTCACAAATGCAAATGTCTTAGTACTTTGCTCAATTACACGGATGCGAGATTTGGGTATTTTGACATTTAGTTCGCAAATCATCTGGTTGATTAATTCTTTTAATTTTCCCTTCTTCATTGTGGTTTGAAGACCATTGATAAAAATTCCATGATTTCCATATTTGCTCATGATAGATAAAGAGCTAAGATGATTTATGTTAAAAAGAATTTTACAATTATGTTTTACATGAGTATGATTCTCTATCGTACATGTACGCCATTAATATGACTTCTAGGTTATCTGTAAAAAAGAAATTTAAAAATTAATAAAATTTACAGTCACATTTAGATCTGGTTGCTGTCTGGCATTCTAAATAAAAGCATTTAGCTAACCGTAATCAGAGTACAAAATCTTACATTACATGTGTTTGTGAACATTTTGCTTGATTTCAAAAACAGTTATAACCTTCCGTTAACTACTGACCAAAGACTGTAACTAAAAAATGAACAAAACATGCGTACAGACTTCTTACAAAATTATAGCCTACATGTAGACTCAATTTGAGGATTTAAATTGAAAGTAAGCTGGAAAAGAAATAACTTATAGGTCTGCAGTTTAATGAATTGACGTTCATGAGGCCCATAAATTATACATCGTACACACTCAAATATAACGGGGAAATATACAAACTTATATTCTTTGTTTTGTTTTCTTCTGCAAGAAAGGACATGTGTGTGTTTATTTATAAGTGTGTAAGTGACTGGCAACGTATGTCAATTTGGCTCTGGACAAACATGAAAATAGCAAGCTCCTCTTTATTTAATTAATTAACGCTGCTAGACCGATATGTTTGTTCAAGAAAATAACTTCTTATAATTTTTTTTTAAAAATTTAAACCAAACACAACAAAGTAAACACACAAATAATACTTTATGGCAAAGTGGTTACATTAATATCGAAAGTATGTACATTTATATTTCTAAATCAATCGATTTCAACTTGCATCATGTTTAATCTAGTTATTTTTCACCTATTTCTACATTCTAATTACAAATTTGTTGACATTAGGCTTCCATTTTGTTTGTTGTGAAGCGATTGTGCGTGGGTAGTCGTAAATATGATGAATTATATCAGAAATACTTAGTTAAACATAATTTTTAATTATAAAGTCCTGTAAATAAATTCAAAATTATTCTAATTCAAGGATTTCTAATACCATAAAATGGAGAATAAAATTGTAAATGGAATTAAAAAACATTTACGACATACACTTTTATGGCAAATTCGAGGCGGAATCCGTTTCCGGTTGCCTTCCGGAAACTGGTTTTTCCAGTGTACACGTCGTATTTTGACATAATATTGGGACTTTGATATTGAGATAAAGGCAAAGCCTGAGGTTAAAGATTTACTGGCAACTCATATACACACTGTGATGGATTCGCTTTACCACCAAACAAATAAATTGCTTCAAGAAATTCATACTGATTTAGGCAGATTAGAAAGAGCCACTGGAAGTGACATTCATTTGCTAGAAAATGAAATCCAGGCACATTTGGATCACATATTTAGTAATTGTGAAAGACTTGACATTCTTGTCAATAAGGAACCACCAACAAGAAGATCAAATGCTAAAATGCGAGTTGATCAGTTGAAATATGACTGTCAGCACTTACAAAGTGCTTTACGGAATATTCAACATAAAAGGTATAAAATAATATAAGCATATGCCATATGGCATTGCAGAAAAGAAACCATTTCTCTCAACCCTCCGTGTTTTGAGATAAGAGATGGTACTATATAGTTTTACTTGGCAAAATCACAATGCAAATCCAACCAGGCTGTCAAATGACTACAAAACTTGCTCAAAGGAAGTCCCTAGAATGATCCACTACCGTGGCTGGAGAAAGACGGGAGACATCAGTGCAGGGGCGGATCCAGGAATTTTTGCAGGAGGGGGTTTGCCTGGTTCCTGAGACAATGTATCCCCCCCCCACCCATGCATTGCCTCTATCGTCATTATGGCGTATATACACACACATTGAGCTTTTTAAAGGAGCTAAATCGCTAACATTTGGGACCTAGAAATTCACAAAAGTGGGTTGCAACGCATATAATACTGTAATATGAATGTATATAAACTGATTTACATTTAATGGTTTCCGTTTTTACTCCAATTTAAAATCAGTTATGTTCAGCGAAATAAGTCAGCAATCTCAATCGAGTGCAAATTTCTAGCGTCTAGTTATTCTAGTCTACATAACTCCATTTGATTTGGTGCAATGTGTCTAGCCTCGTCCCTCGAGTCTCTCAATACAACTGGGGCTGAAGCGCATTATGGTACACGATTCGTGTACCAATGTTAAAAAAATTTTTTTATCTTAAATATCGGATATCAGAAGCTCATCTTTTCCCGGTAAGTTTACATCATCAATGTTGATTTAAGTTGACCAATAATTCGTGTTTTCGATGTCGAAGATTTTGGAGAAATTCAACATCTCGTTTGACGTCAATTTTTATTATGAATTGTGATTCAATTTCATGGATGCAAAGCATCAACTGTGATATCCATAATGTCTATATCATTATCTCGTGCTTTGAGTGCCCATCCTGTCCCACATCTGACGATAAAGGATAAAGCACACGGTAGATGAACATTTCTCATAAAAGTTTTGATTTACCAAAAAAAATTATGTAGCTGAGCAGGGGGGGGGGGGTTCGACCCCCAAACCCAACCTCTGGATCCGTCCCTGCAGTAGTGGAACCATTTCTAATTGCATTGATTACAAACATATTCAGTGAGACATGGGCTAGAAAGGTTTGGATATGCATCAACGACTAAAATATTATTCACTGATGACGACATTACATGTTATAATCATAGACTTTTAAATATTGCATCTCAGAAAATTTAGAGGCTCTCTTTATTATCCTCATGAACAATCCGTCTGCATTGATTTAAACAAATAACTTACAAGTAAACTCATCCACATGTCAATTCAGCTACAGCTCAATCCAAATGCATTGATCTAAAATTGTCAAACTAAGAAGAAACTTACATTATATGGTTGATAAATCTTCTGGCTTGCATTCAGTCAAATAAAAATAGGCTCATCAAAAGATTCGAGCGATGATTATAGGTGATACTGGCTTGATTTGTCATATCTCATTTTTGTCGTCTGCCGAATGTTGATAAAATTTCATTTCATCAAATCGTTATAAATACTGAATGAAATTGAATCATTTTTGGACTGATATTCCTTCTATTTAGAGATTCGACATTCACACTATTGTAGTTCACAAGGGGTTAAAAGTCCCCAAATAATTATCAGCGACTTTAATTTTAGCAGCACAGGTAGGTTTATGTGTATATGTTTCTATTACCTTTCAAACTTTATTGATTATACTATTAAAGAATCAAATAAAATCATGTAAATACTTTATTCATTTTTCAGATATTTACGGGAAGAAGAAGATGCTCAACGAGAGGCTCTATTAACCAGAACATTCACAACAAATGATGCAGACACCTCAATACTGATCGATGCTTCACTACAACACCATACCAGTCTTCAAAATGCTAACAAGGGAATGGATGACTTGATTGGTTCGGGAAGTGGGGTTCTTCAAAATCTTAGGGAACAAAGAGTTTCCTTGAAAGGAGTTCACAAGAAAATGTTAGACATTGCCAACACTTTAGGACTTTCAAACACAGTGATGCGAATGATAGAAAGACGAACTTCACAAGACAGAATTATTCTTTTTGCAGGAATGATCATTACGTGTGTTATTATGTATTTAGTATGGAGATATTTTTCCTGAAGGATGAGATTACTAGATTATAAGACAATGTATTGTGAAGCCAAAAAGTGCCAGAATTTAAGAACTGACAATATTTGAATGTACCATGAACTTTATAATATAAGCCCTTTTCTTTAAATAAAAGAGGTTTATTTGAAAATGTAAGATCCAAGACAAACAGGTACATGTAGTTAGTTAACTAATCTCTCCTGCTTCTTTGAACTTTGAAGTAACACAAACCAAATGGTAAATATAGGTCTGTTGGTAAAAGCGCTTTTAATTCAAGCTCATCTATAGATCCGCATCCACTTTAAACATGATTTGTGTGAATTAAAACTGTCAAACCTTTATAACTTACACTGTCGTCCGTAGTTCCAGTAACTTGGTCAAGTTAACCATCATTTTATTTGTGTAAAACTAAACACAGTTTTACTGTAATAATCCTTGACAGTATTGAGCCATATCCAACTTTCATTTAATTATATTGCAGACATACACTATGAAAGAATTTGATTCAATTTAACTTTAAAAATTGCTGTGCACGGAGTTAAGTTGCCATAATATGATTGTCTATTACATTACAACCTGTTGAGATTAGTTATAAATGATTAACTCTCGAAGATTCACTATCTGGTCTGCGATATCAACTTGGTGGAAGTGGACGTTAAATAAAGCTATTTTACACACACATACAGATTAATAATCAAACCATGGTATAGCTTCACCCACTACACAACAGTAATTCAGTGGTAGACATTTAGATCTACAGTACCGTCACTAACGGTAAAATAAAATAACGTCCTTTTTTTAACTCCCAATCATGCAAAAGCCCGCCCACTACACCCATCATGACAGTAACTCAATAATTTAATTTTCAATACCTTGTTAATTAAGTTGATCCCTAGTTCAGATAATATTTTTGTTTTAATAACAAATTATCCTATTTATTATAACACGGACAAGTGATTAATTAACAACAAATATGACAGCAGATTATGTTGCCGTCAAGTTTGTTTGACCTCTACACACGTGGTTGAAGAAATTGAAAGTAAAATTAGCAATTTCCTGTTCAAAGTTTTCCCTTTGATGCATATGAGTGAAATTTTTGATTACTGTATTATTAGTTGTTTATGACATCTAGAGCTGGCTTTGATGTAAACTATTAAATTGTACGACATATATTTTAGATTTCATCATGGTACTTGGTTATTTTTTTATAGCAATAAGAAATTGAAAATATTTAATGTAAATGTTGTCTCCAGTTTTGTTGTTAATTAACAGTCACTTTGTCAACAATTTCTGTGTACAATGGTCATGTGCACCACCTATAAATTATCTATTATTAAATGCTTAATAATTATGGGTAAATCTTAATGTTGTATGATACAAAATATTTGACATTTAGTTATTATCTGTATATGAATTATAATGTCTTTTCAATCCGGTTCTAAACTTGATCCATATGTACAGCCCCAATCATTTGCTCACAATATGTTTTGTTTCATTCCACATATTATTTTTTATAATGTTCATTTCAATATTTAAATCAAATTGTGAATCTGTTAGTGTATGTGTAGGCAGTTTAAAATCTGTCTGTAGTGGGCTTCTTTTCTGTGCAAATAAAATAAACATTTTTTGTAAGGAAGGGGGTTACATTCTGAACAGCAAATAATAGAAGAAAAATACCCCTTATCACTTAATTGGTAATTTGGAATTGTTGATGAGAATTATATGTATATGAATGTGGTGAGTTGGGTGGCCAAATGGTTAACGCATGCACGTTGGATCAGAAGGTCAGTTAGGTGGCGTTCTTTCAATTCTCCTTTTGTACGTGACAAGGAGTAGGGTCGCCTGTCCAACCTCGTGGTTTTTCTCCGGGTCCTTCGGTTTCCTCCCACTGCTAAAGACACTTACGCACAACTGAATTATTGAAATAAAATTGAACCATATGTAAGTCCTGAAATGACCTAGTTTGTGTTGAGTGGACGTTAAACCACATTTTTCTCTCTCTCTCTGAATATGAATGTGGCATGTTTTGGATTTGTTCTTTATTGATGAGAACTGCATGTATATGAATGTGGCAGGTTTTGTTTTGTTGTTTACGGTCATATTTGACAGATAAACCTATAAAGTACAAAATGCTACATAACAGACCTGTTCAAGAATCAGAAGCCTTCAACTACAGAACACTGTAAAAAGATTGCCCAATTTTGTCACAGTCTTGCCAGTGAAATCTGATCTATGATTGTATTTCTCTGAATACATCTGAAGGAAACTAGAGCTCTCTTGAGCCCCTGTCAAATTTTGCCTGTACCCATGAAATTAATGTTTAGTGTCGACTCATAACAACTGTTCCTGGGCATTTTTCTTTTTCTTTCTAAAATTGGCAGATATATTTTACACCAGTATGAAATTTAACTGACATTTTTCAAAATTTGAATATAGGTGTACATGTGAATTGATTTGGAATATGTGGTAGGATAATCAAACATGAATAAATGAATATGATTTAGCTGTTTAGTACAAATCATTAATATATGAATATTTAATTGTATATAATTAATTTATCTACATGTGTACTGTTATGTGTAAATTTATGTATGTATGTATCATATGAAATCAAATAAAAGTACCCATAAGCGGAATCTAGAATTTTGTTCATTTTAAGCTATTAAACATTTAATGGCAGATCCCATATTATAAGCCTGTGTACAAGGGGAATATGATACAAGACAACGTAATGGGTTTTTTTTTACCATATGAAAGTGCAAATGTCACTTTAATGATTGATGTGTAATTGACCCTCACCGCAGATTTTGCATAAGAAACCAGTTAGGGGGATTCTCTTCCCCAGGCGCTGAGAAATCTTGGGCTGTCTGGGACATGGTAGGGGTCGATTTGTAGCTTATAGTCAAGCCTATTGAATTTCAGCAATTTCCGTTAAGTTATTCTAGAGTTATGGCCCTTGTTTCATTTTCTTGAACCTTGTTAGTTCTCAGATGACAAAACTTATCTCATCTTAAGATGCAAAGTGCATCATCTTCACTTAGCCCCTGAGAGAGACAGATATGGGGTTCAACATCCACTCAACACAAACTAGGTCATTTCAGGACTAACATGGTTCAATTTTATTTCAATAATTTGCTTCCGCATAGGGGTCTTTAACAGTGGGAGGAAACCTGAGGACCCGGAGAAAACCCACAAGGTTGGACAGGCGAACCTACTCCTTATCACATACAACTGGGGAATCGAAACCATGCCAGTTGACTCGATGACAGACCTTATGATACAAAATGCACACGCTAACCATCCGCCCCCCCCCCCACACACACACACACACCACCACCACCTATAGCCCCTGGGTTGAGGTGACTTAAAAGTTATTACGAAGGAACAAAAAATAGTGATGTGTTCTCTAGCAAAGCTTCCATTTCAAATAGACAGTATCTAAAAGTCGCTGATCATCATTAGTATTTACAAGACATACGGATATAGCCTGGAGCTGGAGTTATTGATCCAGAGTCACAGACCCTTTCTTGTAGTTTTCTTCCACATGATAACATTTTTACCTCAAATTAGGGATTTAAAACAAAGATATTTTTTTGTAGTACACATATCTAAGTTTATTTACAATGGAATGGAATATCACAATACAATATATTTCTTAGGTTAAATTTTCTGAGCACTGAAAAGGTGTTTTTCATGCACTATCAAAGTTCATTTAAGTCAATTTTAATAAAGGCACATAGTATAATAATATAAATGTTTCTTTAAACCACAATATGTATAGCATTGTATTTCATAGTTTTCTATTTTTGACTTTCAAAAATTATTTCTGAAATCTGCTTCAAAAGGATACAGCCACTTTGAATTGGGTGGAAAATTAAAAGTGTTGCTTTAATTAGGACTTGATGTCCTGATTTGTTTTGCAAAGTTTCTGCACTTTTGGATTTTGGGTCCAAAGATACAGTCTATGTTGAGATAAAGGGCAGTTTATGTAAAAATTAAAATAAAATTCTTAAACTTCCTCTAATAGATCATCAAAATTAACCATCAGATCAACACTTTATTTTGACCCTATTCAAAGAGGCGTATGTTCTTGAAATGAAAAAAACATTCCTTTAATTCTCTACAATGGAAATTTCACAAATAACAGTTCCAACCTTTACCAGTTTTTGAGACATTTAAGACACAAAAACAGAGAATCTAAATTAATTCATAAAATCAAAAAATTTCACAAAACAATTCACCTATTTACAATAAACAATAAAAATATTAGTAATTAACTAATGATTAAAATTCATTTTAAAATGAGCTTTCAAACAGCATTACCAAATTTGGGACTATTAAAATTTATAATTTAAATTCAATAAACTTCCATTTTAAAAAAAAAAAATTATTTGTTATTGAAATCTTTACATCATACATATTATCTAGCATGGAATGGCTGTCTTCCTGGTACCCAGAGTATATGATTGAGCTATGCCAATTATAAATTTCGAGGATTGCTCCTGAAACATAATTACAGAGATCTTGATCCATCAAATAAAACAAAGTGTCGATATTCTCTCCCTAACCAAGCACTGACATGTGATTTCATATTCATTTAGGTGTCAGTTTTTATTTAATATGATAAACTGGGAAATGCAAAAACTTCAAATTCTAAATAGTGTGGTTCAGACATTAAGTAGTAACTACTATATACTGAGCCTTGTACATATTATCTTCTAGATAGTTCCCAAAATATGGGTCCCTTCTCCAATTAGTCCCGCTCAGATAATCTATGTATGATGCAAAGATTCCTTAAAAAAATTGATACCAAATACAAAATTAATAATATCAATACCATATAAGGTTAAACATGAATATACTAATTACACATATATGACAAACACAACTGTAAAACAACAATAAATATATTTACCTTAAAAGATTCTAAACTTACTAAAAATATCAATACATGCCTATAGGCCTATTTCCTATTCAAATTAAATCAATAACCATCATGAGCATTTTGATTTTGTTTTCCTTTAAACCATAAAACCATGTATAACCTTTAACCTGAGATATCTGAAAAGGTATCCTACATAGTTTCAAAGAAAACATATGGTTTTAAATGCACAAAAAAGAAATTGCAAAGTCTAAGTTTAAGAAACACAAATGGAGATAATTCAACTATGACTAAAGTTAAGAGTTATCTTCCCTACATGTGGGTTCATAATGACATAGAGTAACGAGTTCATCCATGCATTTACAAAAGGTATAAGGTCAATGAACAACACTCTGTTTGACTTTGCTTTGACTTCTGTTCTAAATATACTCACGGCAAAAAATCACAAAATTTGTATTACCCTACCCGTTTTCTATTTTTGTCATTAAAACAGTGAAACTTGTCTAAAAGGTGAATACCCTGCATTACGCTATAGATTTTAAATAGCTAGGTTTATCTCAATTAAAAGCATTTGACATTTTGTTTTGAAATAAACTTTCCAATACTTTTCAAAAGGTCACCTTGATGATAAAAATAACTACACACAAGTACAGATAAATAAGTACAAATTTTAGATACATATATTGCTGGAAGCAAAAAAATGATTTAGATCATAATGATAGTATAATCATCATACATCATATGGCAAGATAAAACAACGACAACAATAATATTTTGTCCAGTTGTTATAATTTACATGATAAAGCTTTCACACATTAAAAATAATAATGTTCAAAAAAACAGTCGCCCCCCCCCCCCTACAATTTATACACTTAAATGTAATTTCCTATTATTAACATACTCATTAAAATTTTGATATGTTAGAAGTGTAAAATTTGTTAGTACATTATTTACAAATTATATTATGTACAATTAATCCACAATTCTATTCTTAATAATCCCAACAAGATATCACCAAAACATCTGTAAAAATGTATACACCTCTTTTTCCCTCATTAATATACAAACTAAATTCCAATTTCTTGATATTCTTAAACTCAATTTAGTGTTTTTTGACTCTGCAGGGAACTTTTTTGAGCAATAAAGCATTTTAATTAAATATATCATAGTCAGATCTTAAATTTGAAATTAAAGCATATTTTCCATTTCAATGAGCAATATTTCAATTTTTAGTAATTCTATAAATAATCAATATATTGTACAACTCACCCAAAATTAAATTCCCTTCCATATTACCTTAAAACTCTGTTATTTTAAGCAATGAATAGGTTAAAATTATTGAGTTGATTTTTCACCAATATCAAATTTCCATAAATTTTCATAAAGGGGCATTAGTGCTATAGTCATGGCAGTTCAGAGCCAGGTAGAAAACAAATAATTCTTTATTTGACTTCTAGTGGCAACTGGCAATTAATGATTCATACAAATCATTTTCAATTAGTAGGTAAGTTCTTTGATTTCGACAATTAGGTGAGTTGAAGGTTATTTTGAATATGATTCTATTTGAACTGATTAAGTTTCTTAAAATATTACATAGTAATTTTTGTCTTAAAGGTTTTGTACTGAAAGAAGATTTCAATTTCTACCTCTAAACACTAGTAGTTTCTAAAAGTACACTCTGAAAAAATCAAATACAATTTGTGAGAATTTTAATTTTTTTCTAAATCCTATCAGACTCAAATAATTCAATATTTACAATTTATAATATTCAAATTAAGGTTCCTGGTCAACGAATAATGTGTAGGGTGTAGTAAGGCCTGTGATTCTGTGTTGAACATTTTTGATTATTTCGGCAGCTCTGCTTGCCTCCATGGCATGGAACACCAAAGCGAAGAACAAAAAGACACAGGCAGATATAGCGACGTAGTAAGACCATTCTAGACTAACTGTATGTCCATCTAGTCCAAACATATCAACATAATTCAGTCCAAATAATACAACCACTGTAATTTCGGATGTCACTGAAAAATAGAAAGTTTGTCTGAATTTTTCTTCACATGTATTTGGTTGAGAAACTAATTTAGTACTGGTAATTTACAAATTTGATTCGGCATTTGAGGACTATCATCTACATATGGTAAAGCAGACAATGCTAGAATATAAAACAGATTTAAATCAAACATGTACATGTATGATGTAGAAATTATAAAATAAATTATATCCATCATGCAATATTAGGTATTACATGTCACTACATATTACTAGAGATATTTCTGTCATGGCCGATTTTTATCACCTATAACAGATTATTTCTGCTAGAGTTGGAAAGCATATGACATACTTCGTAAGGAAGCATTTTGATCATATATCACTTGTCACGCAATTTAGCAATTTTAATCGGCTCTCATGGAGATCAAAATTACTCAATTAACAGGTAAGTATCTATGTATGGCTCTACCTATGGTTGCTAAGGACTGGACATTCAAATTCAAATACATTCAAATCTATCATGTGGTTTAGATGGAGATGTTGAAAATAACTAAATTTGCCCCTTTTGGGTTCTCAAGGACCCTTTTCCCTGTGGATCAGAGCAACCACTGTGGCAAACATTTTTTTTATTTAAATCCATTAATTGGGAGATGATTTTGAAGATATAAGATGTCAACAGGCAAAGAACTGTATATATGACATGACATAAAATCATGTAGGCCCTACTTGGAATTGTTGGACCAATGGCTTAAATGGTAGGTCACTTCTGTGACAAATGAGCTAGCTTTCTTCTATAGAACAACAGGTCAGTTGTGAAGATGAATAATCCTACTTACTTGTCAAAAAATTTATAAGAGATGTCATTTTATATCCACCAACACCATCAAATAATTTTGTGAGGAGAAATACAGACATGATGGTAGATAGAAGAGAACCAATCACGGACAGGATGAAAGCTGCTTGAATAACCCGGAACCAAGCTAAAAAACACAAAGCAAAATTCATTATAAAACTCTTTTAATATAATTTTATATTACATACATGAGGTTGTCAAACTTTTTACAGACATTTTAATTAGGGTAAATCATGTATTATTTTATCGTAATGTTGCTAGTCTATCCTGCCATGAAATTAAGCATCTGTTCTGAAAGTTTTTTTGGGGTTTTTTTTTTACATACACTTGGCAAGTGAGAGAGAGAGAGAGAGAGAGAGAGAGAGGGATGGGGTTTAATTTCCACTCAATACAAACTTGTTCATTTTGGGACTAACATATGGTACAATTTATTTCAATACGTACAGTTTTTATCAGTGGGAGGAAAACGGAGGACACAAAGTAAATCCTTGAGGTTTACTCCTCGTCACTTAAAAGTACGAGACCAAAAGCATGCCCCTAGTACTTGATTTAATAACAGACCTTTTGATCTAAAGTGCACACGTTGGACTATTCGGCCACCAACCCCCCTGCATTTGCCAAGTGAATGCATGATCACATCTTTTCATTTATTCCAGTAGGCAGCTACTTTCGGACTTTTGCTGTAATTCACAAAACACCTGACAGGCCTACTACTTGGCTCATCTGAGATAGCTAATAGCATGAAATGAACTTAAGCAATTACATTTCTTTTTCTATTTCGATTTACAAGCAGCAAGTTATAAAAAAATAAAAAAAAACATGCTCTTGAAAGTCCCACTCTTGTTTTAATAATTTGTCTACTGATATTTATTTGTCTGGCATATGACCATTATTCCTATCATTACGATGTTCAAACTTTGCAATGATTATCAATATCTTGCATTCATGAAAATGAAAACATACATTATCATCTTTGTGTGCATTCACTTCACTTAGACCTTATCTTGTATCTAATTGAAATTTATACCTTATCAATTACGTGGAAATTGTTTTTTCCAAGGTAATACATCATGAACTGCTATAAATAGACTCTTCTATAATGGCTAATAGCAGCCTTTAAAATGTTTCTTAATACATTATTGAACAATTCGAAAGCATCAGAAAATATCCTGATAATAGAACAAAGTTCTGTAAATCCATCATGATTTTTTTTGTCTTGTCATCCCAAAGCTTTTTGTGTCTTCTACCAACAGCAAAATATCAAATAGCTGTCATCTGTCACCATGTCAAAGAGCATAGATTAGTCATCTAAATGCATAAAAAAGTCATGTCCTATAAGACACATTAGTATTTCTATAGCACTCATGATCTTCACATGACATTAAATAGAGCTTAATAGAATAAAACACTCTCTTATCACACCTATTATGCCATACAATGGAAATGAAAATTGTAACATTTAATTAACATGTACGCTATATATTTTAGTGAAAATTACTCATAACTAAGTTCAACTGGGACATCCTATTTTTTTTTATGAAAAAGGTCAGTCAAAAAATAAAAGAAGAATTGATAAATGCATTATAATATTAAATTTAAATAAAAAAATCGAATGGAGTTAATGATTCAGATAAAAAGGATGAGATGCAGGGGAAAGAATGACTGAAAACAAAGGATAATTTGTATATTTTTTCTCTGAAAATGTCGGCTTTCAACATGTTTTATTAGTTAAAACTCAATACATAGATTACACATAATCCTACAAAGGTTCAACATGTCATGAAAGGTACACTAGCAAAAATTACAGTATGTTAATAGGACAAGTTAATACCTTATGGCAGAAAAAAGCTTAATATGGGATTTAAAGAGGCATTCACGCTTTGGTGGTCATCCCTGTTCGGTAAAAAAACATAAAGTGTTTTTATCGACCACCAATAAGCCAAAGTGATTTGCATTCAATCAAATTTTCATCTTTACTGTCCATCTAATTCAAACTGATTGCCATAATTAACAAATTTATTGACACAGATTTCCAAAGTGATTACCATAAATCGCCAAATCACCTCTATCTGCGATTTGACCATTTGATTGGGTGATCACAAATTTTTTTTTAACTATGTCCATCCACAAGAATCAGCTTGCCAGAGTACTTTGAAATTGTCTGTACTGTCACATGACATCTCCACTAAATTCAAATCGATTTGGCAAGTTGATAAAAAGCCTATAATTTCAAGTTCAACATTATTTGACTATACCGGTAAGTAGGTCATCTTAAAATGTGACTGTATGCCAAATTTAGAGATAATCTATCAAGTCAATGCAGAAATATACTCAGCACAACACATTTTTAGAGGATTTCAAAGAGTTAAAAGAACATGTTTTCTAAATTTCTTACTAGGTAGTCTTAAAAGTTATTTTGAATATAATATCATTTGAAAAAAAAGAAAATCTCAGTGAGAGTGATAACTTCTCTTTAAGATCTTATACAATAAAAGTTACTCTGTTAAATCAAATTATTGTGGTTCGAAAATCATTCAAATCAGGATCATCCTAAGTTACAACCATCTGAGGTTTACACTAGTTTCTACTCACTGCAACAAGCATTTAAAACATATTTTATTTCTTATTTGCATCTTGCATGGCAACTTTTCCGACATGGTGACAGGTTCATTTTAATATCCATTTTTATGTTGGCAGCTGTAAATATTAATTTAAATCTTAAGGTAAAGAGAAAGCCAAGAAGATCTTTTAACAAAGAGGCTTTGAAATGAAGACATCTGCCACATTTATTTAAAAAATATTATAAATAGCACAACTTTCCAAAATCTAATGACATTGGCATCCTAGACTTTTCACAAAATTCATTAGTCTTTTTCTCAGACACTTTTCAATACAGTATTGGAATTACTTTGCAGAGTGGATAGACACACTTGTCAAAATGGCTGCCTGCTATTGAGTTCCTTGACAACACAATCATATTAAAGATAAGATCCTTTCAAACACAGATCTACTAGATTGGACAGTTTTATTTACTCTCAGTTTATTTTAGTAATGAAGTGATTAATTTCTCAGACTTCCATCAATATCGGTTATTAAATCTTATCTTGCTTTCCTCCCATCCATTATTTTTAAATTCCAGCTCCTCTACGAGTAGAATTCTCATAAAGATGTATTAATTCCATTAAATGGTACATTAATTTCAAATGGCTTATTTCATTTTCTAAGTCGATTTTCTGTTTTATTTGTAGTTATTTCACAGATTTACACATTTTCAGAAGTAGGCTACAAAAGTAGAAATGTTTAGTTGCATGTGAAAAGTGATTTTTAGGTCCATTCAACCACTAACTAGGTCCTCTCCGAACTAAGCTGGTACATTTTTATTTCAATAATCTGCTTGAGTAATAAACATAGGGGTCTTTGTAACTGGGAGGAAATAAAAGTACCCAAATAAAATGAGAGAGAGATATGTGATTTACTTCAACTAATACAAACTAGGCCATTTTTCGATATACAGTGAATGGTAAGCTTAATTTTTATATCAATAATTTGCTTGCAAATAGGGGTCTTTAAGAGAAAACCTGTAAGGTTAGGCAGGTAACCCTATTTCTTATCAGCCTGGGATCAAACCTTTGTCTTGCTGAGCAAACCAGCCTTATGATTTACAGACTACTCAAATAATGTTCCTCCAAATAAATGAGAAGTACATTGTCATGTAGTATCAGTTAATGTAATAATAGGTGTCTAGATACCCAACACCCCAATATAAAATATTATCTTAACACAGCAATAAAGTAAGTTCATAGCTGTTTTTCTTTATTTACATGTAGTTTGAGTCATTCTATGTGTCAATGACTAGTCTGTGTCTACAGTTGTATACCGTCTATGACTTGCCATATTTTTATTTTGCAAAATTAAAATATTTTTCATGTATATTTAGCTATTTTTTCATGTGTTCCAAAGTGTGCCATTGGCAAAAAAAGGTTGCGAACAACTGTGTTAATGTAATAATAGGTGTCTAGATACCCAACAGTCCAAGATAAAAGTATTATAATGTGTTCTATTAGTTAATATAATAATAGGTATCTAGATACCAAACACCCGAAATAAAAGAGAAGTAGTAGCATGTGTTCTATAAGTTAATATAATAATGGGTTTAAAGAAACCAAACTCCCTAAGATTAAGACTGAGAAACCATATAGAATATTTACAAGGGTGAGTGTGTGGGGGTGGGGTGGGTTCGGTTGATTCTTTTTATAACTACTTCAAATCAACTTCTCTTCAAAAAATTTAATCAAACTAACTATGCCAACATCGAAATAAATTTGCAAAGAATTATTTACTTCATTGATCGTTAGCAACTAACTTCTATTCAATCTCCATCTAGCCGTTTGCAATAAGTACCAACAATTTATTCCCGGTCATGGTACCATAATGAAATCAAGGCATTGCCAAGATTGGTATGTAAATGAAGGACTTATAACGGTACCTTGACAAAGGATATTGTATCCAATAAAATTGGTATTTATTGGCTAAGCTTCTGATTTCCTTCGGCATGTGGAGATAAATATGGCAATGTATCTCAGTAACCAGTTTGTAATAAATATAATTACTGTAGCAACACCAAACAGGCTATCAATGATAACGTCTCTGCATTTTGATGTTGGTCAAATGTTTGGATGACAAACATTTGAAACTTGACCATCTAAATTGAGCTCATTAAGTATCCATTGAAACAGGTCTTCAAATGTCCACAAATATCAACCATGTAAAAGCTTTAAAAACTATTAAAGAATCTCGAACAGCTTGAAAGACAGGTTTGCTGTGGTTTTAAGAATAGTTTCCCCATTGAGGTTAATTAAGTCATCTAGTCTAATCTGAAAACTTAAAGTGTAAACTAAAAGTGTATTATTTCATTTTGTTGTGAAGAGATAGGCTACAACATGTAGTGTGTGCAGTAAACATGTACTGTGGGGTGGGACAATTTAGTAATGCTACCCAATATTACCAAATACTAACCAAATACTACCAAATTCCACTACTTACTACCTTAAACATACATTATGCAAGAGCTAAATTTGCCTATTGCAGGTTTTTCTTTAGGCCTGAAACGTTATCAAAATTATTAAT